TTTTGAAATAGGTTTCCTTTTAATTTTTTGATTAATGTTTCTAATTGGCAAAACAACGGATTAATAAACCACAAAAGCATATCAATTTTTTTGCTGTTGAAAATACATGTAACTGAAATTTTTGGTCTTATTACAAAAGGGTGGTCGTTTGAACTTTTCATTTGTCTAATGGTTGATATTGATTTTGTAAATGTCTCAAATGCAATGAAAAGGTATGATTTGTTTAATGGCCCGGCATTAATGTAATCAACACATTTCAGTAAAATCAAATCAATTCATTTAAGATTCACATCTCTCGAATAGATTTTTTTATGGAACATTAAGGGTATTGTAACTTTCCATTGCTAAGGAATTTGAATAGTACGGATCATTTGCAATTATTCTGCAAAACATGAATCGAGTTTTATTTCTATTATATAAGGAAGAACACCATTTTTAAAGACAAATATCAAATCATTCAATTTATACATGGCTGTTGAAAAATCTTTATCATACGAAACATGAACTTTTCAGGTATCAGATAACAATGTCTGCTCAATATTTTATTTATATCATTATTGTCTTAATCAATATGTTTTCAAGAATAAACGAGATACGATAAGTTTATCAATAATTAACATCCTCTTGTTCTATGGAAATAAAATATGTAACAGTCTAGCTAGGCCATCGTTTTCTAACGGTAGTTGGACATATTTTTATTTTCCCTCTACACTTTAAATGAAATATCTTTTAAAATATAGAAATTAGAATTAATATCATGTAGAAGATTAAATTTTGGTGAAGGCATATTGGTTGGTTATCAGTCACAGTAAGAATTCACGTTTGACATAGGACTAAAATAGGATAAAAATCAACTTTCTCAGGCAGAGCAAAGATTAATCTTTAAAACTCATCGAAGTAGTGGCCCAAAATTTTCTCATTTATAGAATTTTATTTCAGTAAACGGGATTAAGCGTTATATAGATTTAAGAACCACATAACTTGCAAGAAATACAATAGAAAGCTCCTAAGACATCGATGAAATTGCTTTAATAGAAATATTACAATAAGTTAATCAATGTCTTCCTTGGCTTTCTTAGAGGGCATATTAAAATTTATACATTTTCTTTCCTCTTTTAAAGCTATAATACAAGCGGTTCAGTGGAGCCCGTGTAATTTAATTAGATCAGAATGAATGATTCACTTTGATTATTTAAAGTTCCTTGTTTTAGTTGTTATTAACAAAAACAGTAAAATCGATGGAATTAACAATCTCCTGTTTATTTTCAATAAGTAATTAAACACTCGATGGGAACTGGTCAGAAGGGCATTATGGTCGGGTTACTGACCAAATAAAAGTTTCCAAAAATCTCATCCCTATCTAACTGACATTAGAAAAACTTGTCAAGCATTGTTTACGCTTCACAAGTATGCCAGATTCGGTTTCAATGGGAAAAAAGAGTTTTATTTCTGTTTATTTACGTTTGTCAAATAATGTACTTTTTTCATCTCTAAGGCTAACACAATCCGTAAAAATGAATTTTAACAAATGCTTTATATATATAGATAGAAGTCAATATCTTGAGGAGGGAATAAAGGAAAAAGAACGCTAGGTAAACTGAAAATGGTAATTGAGGTAATGAAGTTGGTTCAAGTACGAATGATTAAAAGTGGATGTCACTTTGATTCTTTTTATAAAAAAAAAACACAACGTATTATTGAACTATTCTGCAGTTATGCATTACAAAGTAGGTCATATGGAGACGCCACCACTTACCGGTGGAGAGCTGCACATTTTGTGCTGTACTCGGCACTCAGAGCAATTGAGCAGGCAGAGATTTTCGTCATGCCAGCACCTAGTGTGACCCAGGACCTCGGTTTATACGGTTTCATTCATCCGAAAGTTTGGTCTCCACATCTCACAGTGGGATCGAACCCGCGACGTCAGGATTAACTCCTTACTCCGCGATTCTAGAGCAGACGTCTATAACCATTGCGCCATGCAGGCGACAAAAAGGAGGATATGAAGTTAATGATAAACATGTACATGTACTAGCATGTAGCTTTTAAAACTAACGCTATACTCATTTGTACATGTATTTAAAGAAGCCTTATAGGCATTAAGCAAAAAACCAAATAGGTTTAAACTTCAGTCCGATTCGTTGCTCTTCCAGGTGAGACCTCGGGGAGTTTGCAAGATCATATTAATGTCATAAATATTCATTATAATAGAGAATATTACATACTAAAATCCATATCATATGTCATATCAGCCCGAGTGGCACAATATTAGCCCGAAGGTCGAAGGCCCGAGGGCTCAAGTGACATATTTTTTATATGAATTTAAGTATGTAGTATTCTATTTATCATATATTTAAAATACTTAAATTCGCGAGTTCACATATTGTAATTGAATGTTTCGTGCCTGTTTGTGACGTTTATTTTAAAATCTAACAGAGTCAATTTTAGGTAACTGAAAAAAAAATAAGACCACGCATGTCATTCAAGAATCGTTTTACATGAATATTTAAATAAAATCAAGTAAATTAACTTTTATAACGTTACTTCCGGTTTGATATGGATTTTTGCAAGTCGGTCCGATACGTGATATGGATTTTCGGACCGGTCCTTGATATGGGGTATTGTGACGTCACTCGTATCACACAGTGCAGAATCGGTGTATTTACCACTAAGTAAATGATAATTACAAATTGTACGAGGACCATTTAAAAAGTTTTGTACAACAAAAGGAGTCCCTTGATACATTTTGGACGTTTCTTTTTGAATTGCTGTTTAACTTTATGTATATTTTACATTTATACATTTTTCCACTAACGCTCACCTTCTTGGGTATAGGAAATTGTTACACTCCCCTATCAAAGTAACAAGTACACTGTAACAAAGCGTTTGGCATGGACGCTTTCCATGTTTTGTCATCCATACTTTATTATAAAACTTTCTTTGCCGCTTAAAATAATGTAACCACATTTCATCTGTTTCAATGTTAGAATTTTTTCCTCTCTTTGGTTAGTTTAATATTTTTTTCCCACATGAAATATGGTCAGCCTTTTTCAACATTCTGTAAATGAGATATTCATCTTGCAGAACTCTTTCTGAAACCGGTCTTTTGTAAGAATTAAGGATATGAAATTCTATAGATATGCCTACTGTTCGAGCTAAGTCCTTAACCGTGTACGTTGCATCTCTCTCTACTAATTCATAGATTTCCAGCGTTTTTATGTATTACTAACCTTTTAGACTTTCATCATCATCTTACTACTTTTCCAAAACCACCTGGAATCGGTTCTATATGACAGTTGCTGTTCTCCATAAATATTGTAACTTCGAATGTATCTTGTTGTGATTGTTTCACGTCCGTCAGCACAGGCTTTCATGTAGCTTCTCATTTCTGCTGTTGTTCTGATTTTCTTTCCATGATAAATTAATAGAGTATCACCTGTAGGGTATTTTCAAAACTTGATAACTCTTCAAAAACTTAAGCAATCCCTTTTCTGCAAAAGACGGTGTGGCTGATAGAATTAACATGTAATGAACAATGTCAAGTGTGTTTGAAGTGATCTAAATTATTTTTTTGAAGGGTTGGGGTGGACAAAACTTTTTGAATGACCCTCGTGTGTACTATTACAATGGAAAAATAATTCAATTTGAAAAAAGAACAATCGGTGTTTATTTTAAAACAAGCATAAAGAAACATTTCCCCCCATATATTTCGGCATGCATGTTTAAAATTGGTTGATCAAAGGGAAAATTCACTACTTTGTCCTACAAGATGGCGGCCAAGGAGACTTACTCTGAGGCAAAATACATTATAGGAAAACCATCTACGAGTATCATCTCGTATAAAGACCGTTGAATCCACAATAAATGTTTTCTAAGTAAATTGATTATATAAATGTGTTGTAGACCCGTCTGAAGAAAAAGGGCTGCCTCTGAAATTTGAAGCAAAAACTTTGCAAACAATGCAATTTGAAAACCCACATTTAGAAAGTGTTAAACATTACGAGGTCAAGACACCAACCTACTCTTTGTAAATATACAGTTTCTAAACATATTGACTTGAAATGAAGATCGCACAGTATACTTGAAAGCAATTGCAAAATATGCTCTAAATTGCGCATAATACAGATATTTACCCAGGTATTATTGACTGATGAATTGACTTTAACCATGATATTTTCTTTCCTATCTGCATTTGAAATTTAAAAGAATAAACGTCAACATTTGTTTAGAATTCAAACACATATTTTTAAAGTCGAAAGTCAATAGATCTCGCTGCGCATTAATCATTGATGTCTGTCTCCGACGAAACGCACTGACATAATAATGAAGTAAAAGGTTTTTTTCACCTTTTTTCTGATAGGTGACTTGGTGTATTCTATGTTTAAGGTATGTGTTAACAAAATTACTTTTTTCTAATCTTTATACCTGTTTATCTTTTTTTCTTTTAATTGGCTTTTTTGTTTACTGAAATTCATGTTATGTATAACATTATTTAGAAAAGATAAATATAAGCCTCTATGAGACATGTTCTGCATAATTGCTTGAAGAAAGCCTTAGATATTCTTTCATTAAAATTTGATAGCTCTTTTGTTTTCAAATATAATATCTTGTCACTTTTTTTCAAACTCTCTTTCTATTTGAAGCCAAAATGCAATTAAGATCATTTTTCATTCTATAAAAGCAGTTTAAATATGAATGAAATAATTATATTTAAAGTTTAATATACAAGCATCGTTTAATATTTGACGTTACTGGTACATGTATGTTGAGTACTTTTAAGTTCTTTGCCGTTTATAGATGGAAGTTTTTGTCAAAACTATCGCAAGCCAAAGTCAGTAACACATGTATTAATGATCAAATTAATATTTCTAGACCAAATTCATCATAATTTAGTCATAAATAAAAGGCTTTTACTTGTAATTAATTCATTTCTTCCAGTTCGTGATAGAATTAAATATTAAAGTAAATGCTGTCCTCTGATGAAGGCATATTAAGTTCTACATTTTTTGTCTATGTCAATTTCAGAGAATCGAAGCACCTGGACTCCTGATGCGATCTAACCAATGACATTGAGTTTTGCCGATCTTGAGACTGAGACAATTTGCTTGACAAAATGAAAAGTTCCAATTATTAAGTTAAAGGTAAACATTGTTCATAATCATATCTAATGCTACATCATAATTTCAAATAGTATATCATAAATCATATATAGTTTTCGGATCTCACCATGATTTGTATATATTATAAAGTTATACACTATATTTTTTTTACTGAATGATCAGAAACTTTGATGCCCTTTGATTGAATCTTATTCTTTTGCCCGAGTTGTTCCACAGCAAGGTCAGAATGTTTTGTATTTATTGTTTTTTAATGTAAAAGGTGAAGTTAACGAACAGTGACAAAACAATTTATATGTGAAGAGGGCCGTAAACATGGACCCATGGAAATTGCGGAATTAGGATTAGTCTCTTAAGTATTTTAAAACTGATTTTATTGTTAAAATATATCAACAAAATACACGTTAAAAAAGAACTTTTAAAAGTAACTTCCAATGATATTTTATATTTTATTCCACTCATTTTGGAAAACTTAAATGAAATACACTACAAATTATATACGATGTAGGTTTCACTAAAGATTTTCGTATGGCCTACTTTTACGTCACACTTTTGATTGTGAGGTCAAATTTCAAACTTCTTGCTAATTAATCAATTGCACTTGTTATTTGTTGTCAATAACGCTTGTTTTTGCTGATAAATGATAAAAATTGAGCTAGATTTTTATTATCATCTACTAATTTAAGGATTATCAAGCATATTGAGACTGTTGCTAAGGACGAAGTCTATTGTAAGTAAAATCTTAAGTTCAATCTGATACGCATGCGTTCGTGAAAAGCACTTAAGATTTGTCGTAAGAGATTCGTAAGTTAAAATCTTAAGCAAAAACGTAAGAGGTGCCTAAGAGTAGAAAGCATTCCTTGTTGACCGGTGGCACATGCCGTGAGCCCTATGTTAAACGGAAGTTTTATGAAAAAACAATTCAAAATAAAAAGAACAAAAATTGCAGCATGACACATAATATTTGGTTTGCGAAAAAAAGATGTGTTATGTTACGAGTATAGATCTTATCGAAGTCAACAATTAAATGGTATTTTCTCTTACAGATCGTAGTTCAAACTTAAATGTCGGAAGATTTATCAAATGGCTTCCATTAAAAAGCTTTGACTGCATTTCTAATATTTATTGTGCTAAAAGTAAAAAAAATAGTATGGATCCTTTTTATAATCATGCAAATTATATGCCATTGGATGTTCTCAACTAATCAGGAAAGGTCATATTGACTGTCACCATTAATGAGTTCCGTCACATGAATAAATTGTTAAAGTTTTACATGTTGATCACAATATTTCTTTTCGATTGGATGTTTAATTTCAATGAAAAGAATACTACTTTGCATACGAACAGAGAAGCCAACAATGGCTTTGATCACGTGTTGTTGTCTATTACAAATGCTGTGCTAGTAATCAATCTTTCAATGAAATTGATCAGTATGATTAGTATGATTAGTATATTGCTGAATTCTCTATTCCATATGCAAAGTGGTATTCATCTCCTTGAAATCAAACATCGAATCGATGCGACGTGTGAATATAAAAAAGTGACACACTGTTCCTGGATTGATAGTAGGAAGACAGAACCTTTCGTAGTCAAAATCATTTTTAAAAGCAAAGGTCAAACAATTGGTATGAAACAAGTCAGTCAAATACACGAATGGAGAGACGAAATTGAGACCACAAGCCAGTGGGAGGGGGGCAATAATGAATAAAAAGACAATATTGCCAAATTCAAATAAAACTTACAATCTAACCATGGAATGAGCATTGGCTGTCATGATGAGTCGAATTCATCAAATGGTTTTTGAAGAGTTAACAAGAAGACTTCTGTAGGAAAAATGCAAAACTGGTGTGCGCAATGTTTATACCACGCAAATAAAAAGCAAAATTTTTTTTGTGTTTATAGCTGTTTTTTTTTTTAAATTATTCATATAAAGATGTCAAATGCTAAAAATATTGTATCGATCCGTTGTTACTTTCAAAGAGAACCATGGAGAATTACCCTCATAATTTCATATTCAGAGTTTCATATGGATTTTTGCCCAGTCTAATTTATTGCTTTAGATGAACAGTAGTTTGTTACCAAATTAAAGGAGAAGATATTTAGTAGAAACTTGCTTATAAATTTTAGATACCTTGCTAATTATAGATGATAATATGAGACTTAAAGGATGTTGTCATTGAAAGTTAAGATCAAGAGCTTGGATTTCAAAAAATGCATTCTGAAATATTCTTGCAAAATTATTGAAAAGGTTCATAATGTTCTACTAGAAATATATTGTAACAGAGATTATAATATATGGTGACATATTTTGTTCCTGTTCACTAGTTCTTCTTTGAAAGATTATGTGGACATGCTAGATACGGTAAATCATTTTTTTTTATTCGCAAGAACTTTTTTGCGTCTTTACGCGAGTCTACCTTCGCGTAAATATATATATATATATATATATATATATATATATATATATATATATATATATATATATATATATATATATATATATATATATATATATATATATATATATAAAAACAATGACTTGCAAAAATCGTCTAGCTTATAAATGTTCTACTAGCTCAGAATGATTTTTTGAGAAAATATAATGATCTACAGTTACTGTAATTGTGTCGAATATTTGATTATTTTGGAAAATCTTCAAAATACTGGTATTTTATTGATACATTTATCTTACAACTCAACTCAACATATCTATGTTGCCTGGTGATATTGATATCTTGCTTGTTTCATATTCTATAGAAAAATAACATCCATACAGGGAGCAGAAATATACCTGAATAAAAATACAATTTCAATGTTCAAGACCAGCACGTATGACAATATTAAAACATGCCATATTATTGATATAAGTTTAAATTAAGATACCATAATCAGAATTATTCACAATAAAGATAAAATTTGTTTGTCTAATTGAATGTCACGGTCATAAACTTGCTTGTTCATAGAAATAAATTCTATCATAATGATTTATTCACGAGCGAAGTAAATTAAAATAATCAGCAGGGGTATCTATCCAGTCCAAGATCGATTATTACCACAAAATTTAGGGGAAAAAATATCCCCATGCGTTAAATTAAAAGCAATATGATATGAAAATTGTAGGGAATTTAAATATTTAATCTTAATTCACTTGTTTATGTACTTAGAAGGCAATCATATTAATATTACATCCTAAATAGAGGTAAATGTTTTTCATTGTCAAATAGCAAGATCAACGTCGTTATTTTCGTATTACTATTATATCTATGTAAAAGTATATTTTTAAATTTAAAAAAGTTTGAATTTATTTTTACTATTTTTTCCTTATGTGAAGATTAAGATACATGTCGATTTCACAGAAACTCTGAAAATCGTCGTAATGGGAGAATGATAGACATCAATAACTTCATTCCAAGTCCTTTTTTTCAAGTTGCATACACCAGATTTGCTATTTTTCATCATGCATATTCTTGATTTTTCCTATCATTATATAAAGATAGATAAGTGTATTTCTTTCAATTTTTATTTACAGATGTTAATATATAAACAATACATTTACACGGTGCTGATGATTTTACCATTTAATTTACTGGACATTGAGGGTGCTTCTCAAACTGACTGTGAGTATAAAAAACTTTTTTACGACAAAACTAAAAATTTACACTCTTACTATTGTTTTTCTGAAATGTATCGAATATCCAGTAATGTAACATTCTGGTAAAGATTTATGGTAAAGAACACAATTATATCTACGAACTATTATAGATTTGTGTCTATTTTTCGTACAATTTATCAATCCAAATATGTTTGGGAATAAAAGCACTCGAGTTAATGACTGTAGTATGTGACTGGAAAAAATGGCATCGAGTAGCCCTATCTTGATTCTTCCTATTTCAACACATACATGTTTTTCATATATTGTTAACGGCGGGTGTTACCGGTCGGCAGTGGATGCTCACGCATCCATGGTACCTGATCCCACCTCTGATGTTTTGGAGGTCCGTGTTTGCTCTGCTCCTATTTTGTATTGTTTTACGGACTTTTGATCTTGAATACTGTTCGTTATCTCCATATGTTTCATTCTTGTTAAACTTTTTAATGTTATTACGTGATACCTATATTATTTGATATAGATAAACACGTGGATTGTCGATATCACTTTCACTATCACCCCTTGTCTTGGATGGAAGCGTATAACGTTTGTGAAGGCAATAACCAAACATTGTTAAAACTGGATAATGCAGCTGAACACACGCTTTTCAGTTCACTTGCCCGTTCCAGAATTAACGTGATACTGTCATCAACCGTGTAAGTTCTATTTAATTTTTTTGTACATTAAATCATTGAATATTCTCAATTTTAAAGTTTTTACGGAATAACTGTCTGGATTTTGTTAGTAAAAATGACCTTATCAAGCGATTTGCTTGCGTGGTTCGGCTTTATGAATAATAGTATGATGCAAGCCAATTTTTTGTTCAACATCATAAAACTTTATATCTGACAGTTATTTTAAATACAGTACTTATAAGATTTCGTTAATTCATGTGCTTGATCCTAACCCGCGCGCCCAATACTCAATTCTCTCCCTCTCTTTTTTGCTTAACAATTGTTTTTATCAACACTTATCCATGAACTAAAAGCTTTATGAAGAAACGAAGTTATTTTTAGCATAAGTTGTAGTTTATCTCGGAAAAAGAAATTTTAGATATGCAAAATAACCATTCTGCATATTTCTTCCAGTTAATATTGATTTATTAAGTTTCTGGGGTCTTGGTGCTCATTATCGAAAATCATTCTTTAAATTCTGTTCCATAATTCTTTTTCACATTAAATGAGGTACATGTACCAATATGGGAATTTCTCTTTTTTAATGGTTCTTTTTTCTGTAGAGAATCCATGTGGATCGGACTAAGTGCCACCTCCAAGGATGGAAATATGTATCATGTATGGCCAGATTGTACACAAATGACTTCTAGTGTAGGATTTAATCCTTGGCCGAATCTTGTAGAGGCCCAGAAAGAGGGATGTGTGATGTTAAATCCTTCATTAAATTCCTACTCAGTAAGAGATTGTTCTAGTTCATTTGAGTATGTCTGCGAAGAAACAACTACAGGTAAGTCATTGTAAAATATAGTTTACTTTGCAAAATGTTTTTGGGATAAGTTAATTATTACGCTTTTAAGGTATGTCACCCGTGAAAGTTAAATCAAGGATTTTTTGAGAAGTATATTTTGGATAAGAACTCATATAGTGTGACTATAAATCGCAGAGAAAATAGGGGGTCAATGTGCATCATACTGATCTACAGCACTATTAAGTTGACCTTTTTGCACTTAAATTTTAACTCTTTGGTTAATTACTTTAACCTTTATCATATTTCATCAGGTTACCATGGCAATAAATATAATCTTATTTTACGTAAACAAATCTTGCAAATTAAAGTGCATAAATTATTTGTGATATTTTGGGTATTAAAAAAATTAATAGACAATAACACATTTTCTTATATCAAACTTTTTACGACTCAAGTGCTGATCAGTCACAAGTATCGAGCAGTTTAAAATAATGAAAGAAAAGGTTTGGGTTAGTGATGTTAATTTTGAAATACTGGTCAAAATATGTGATTTTCAGGCAAAAAATGGTGTAAATTTTATCTTGACTTCTTTTCATTTTTTGGCAAAGTTTGTTGAGAGAAGGTGTAAAACTTGTTAAAAAAATATAAATTGAGACCTATATTAAATATTTCTGGCAATATCATAACGGAAAATATTCTCCGAGTAAAAGTATGTGAGGCTAAAGTTCCAAGATATTAAATTTAATAAATGTGCAGATTTGCAGAATTTTCTGCTAAATATCCTTCCACCACAAGAAATAGTCCCTCATAAACCTTGCTTCTTTGTAGCTTTTTGAGCAGTTTTTTCTTTGAAAGTTAAAAAAATATATACATTGTTGAATTTAAATATGTAATAAGAATTGAATTTTAATAAATAGTTTTGAAGTAAGAGGTTCTGCGTGAACTTTTCTAAAAAGCTGATGAGTGACATACCCTACCATAAAGATTTCTAAAAATGTAATAATTTGAGACAGAAAAGCACTTTTACAACGCAAAATGTAATAGCAACGCAAAATGTAATAAACTGCGGTTACAACATTTTGCGTTGTTACATCTTAGGTTGATCTCTACGCAAAATGTAATTACACAAAATGTAATAATCCTTAAAAGTGCGGTTACAACATTTTGTGTTATTACATTCTGCATTGATTTCGACACAAAATGTAATAATGCAAAAACCCCAGTATTTTACATTTTGCGTTGTTATTACATTTCGCGTTGTAACATAGCACAATTGCATTTCCTCAAATAGATAAATATAAGAGTAGAAAACAGCTCATGTAAATTATTTTTCTTATTGACAGATCCAGCTCAATGTTTTTATCCAATGACAGACGCAAATGTTAAACAATTCTTTCAAGTAAAAGACATTCACCAAATAGATGAGTCCTCTTGCGCCCAGTTATGCCATTCAGTTTCCCATTGCGCAGGCGTAATGGGGAACTCTGCCACTTGCTCAATATTCACTACTCTAACAAATGCATACGCCACACCAGGTCGTGGAATCGTATATGCTCATAGTAAGAAATGACTATATTGGATCTCTTCTATTTTTCTTTGTTGAAAAAGGATGGAATGTGATAGCTTGTATTATTTTAGATACTGAGTATATAAAATGCACTTTTCTTTTTTTCTTTGCATTATCCTACTTAATTAAGATGAAGAATGTCTTTAAACTGGTGCTAGAACAGTAGATATATATCCCTAAAATAATACAATTTTTATTTAGCTTTAATAAACTGGAGTCAGTACTCAACTCTAAAATCTACTGTTCCACCTGCGGAGATATGTAGTATGTCATTCCCCACCGATATCACAATGGCGTCCAGTGCAATTTCCTACTCGTCATCAGAATATTTGTTCTCGTCAGTGCTAAATGTTGATACAACAGGATCAATTATTTCGCATACTTCAACAGAAATGTCCATATCATCACTATCAGTTGTCCCAGTGTCGTCATCTGAAACTCTTTATCCTTCATCAGAATCTATTTTTTCAACAATCTTAGGTGTTGATTCATCAACACCACCACTGGAACCAAGTATAACTTCACAAATGTCATCAGATTCGTCCATATCAAGCACTCCTGCTTTGCAAACTTCAGTAGAATCAATATTTTCTTCCCCAGATATTCTTGGTATGTATAAATGAGTCGTAATACTTTTAATTCATTCAATCAATTGCATTTCAATATAACTAGACTTTTGTGGATCAACATGAACAGAAACTTAAATTATTTTGACCCGTTTCTGTTCTTTTTCAGCCTCGTCATCTTCCTATTGTAATTGTCCGTGTAGGACGGTACACAATATAACGTACACACCCGAGGAGCTCCAAAAGAAATTAGAACAAATGAAAGCAGAACTGACAATTGAAGCAAAGGAAACCAGTAAATACAAAAGAACACTTATCAGTGTACCAGACCATCGGCCCTCGGCCCGCGGTATTGGGAGCGTGGGAATTCTTATTTTATGTACTATTATTATCCTGCTTGTGGCATTTGATTTCCCACGTGCTGCCCACCATACTCTGATAATCGTCAAATGTGCAAAAGAAAAACTTAACACAAAAACAAGTAACCATAGCACAGATTTATAATTTTATTATACTTCTCTTGCAATGTTACAACATTTACATGTATTTTGAAAACAAGGCTATATGACATTGGTAGAATATTTATAATAATTATATCTTCACTTTAAATTCTCTTTTCGTCATTTCCTCCACAATTTTTACCTGTAATTTCTTGGAATGATCTTTTTTATGGTTAACCGAGCAATTCAAATATTATTTTTCTCAGCTAATTATGTACAAGTGGTTTAAGACAGAGGTCACACCATTCAAATATCGTTGCATTTTGATTTATATCAATATCTTAATATGCAAAAAATTGTGTTAGGTTGATTTGATCCTGATTTGTATAGCTTCAATTGACTTTTGAACTTAATTGTTGCTATCTCCATATATATTTCATGTTTTATGCAAGAGCTATACGTTTGATGGAATTTTAAGCACAAATTTAAACTTAAAAATGAAACATTTTTACACTGAATATTTTTTTAATATTTTTTTTTTCTTAAAATGATAAAATTTGAATTCTTTATGAAATCTTGACTTTCTTGAGCTCCGTAATGTGACAAAAATTTTAAAGAAATAATCTATTGTTGAGCTTGAAATAGTTGAATTTAGATAAAAAGTATATACATTTATCATTCACAAATAACTCTGAAGCTTTGTGATATAATGACGTCAATTGTATTCCACCTGGTTTCGTCATCGATATAAAAAACAGAGAAAGGGTCTTGTACCACTCTGTATAAGGTAGTAAAATTAGAATCCCTTGTTACTGCCACAATCATCGTTGTAATATTTTGTTGCCTGAGATTTTTCATTTTCTCCTCAACCCTACTAACATTTGCCCAATGACCATCTGTGATGATAACAATGATCTTGTTCCTTTTGAGATCAGATGAGATACTAGAGGATAGAAGTTGAACAGCTGCTTCCGACAGTAAACTCTCTATATTAGATTCTGATTTCTTCCCAGGACTAAGTTTCTGCAAATTTACCAGAAATTGGTCGTCATGACTGTAATATGCAAAGTCGTCTACATCGTAAGATATTCGACCGATTCGGACATCCTTTTTTGTCAGAAAATATCTGTGAGCTATTTCCGATGCAACAATTAGGGAGTTCTTGAAATCGACTCCGGACAAATTATTGTCCTGTATTATTATAACGTCAGTATTGTTAGAGACTCTGCAATCTGAAATTAAATAAAACTGTAATGTTCATATGTTGTCTTCGTATGCCTTCTTTAATATTTTAGACAATTTAGATGTTATCATACTTTGTAAACTTAAGGAGGCTGAGGGGTCAACAAATTAACCACAAATTAACCACCAGATTTTACTAATTTTTTGATATGGTATCTTAAGCTGTCAACTATCATTTGGCAAAGAAAAAATTCATACATTTTAGTTTTAAAATTTGATCATTTTTGTATATCTTTATATGGAGCTCTTCTTTTAAAGGAGATAAAAATAGTCTGAAAATGGCTGCCACCCCCAGCCTCTTTAAATCGTTTTTATTCTCAACATTGACTGATTCTTAGGACTAAAAAATCCATTTCCAATAAAAACATTTACTGTATAAGTGGAGATTTTAGCGAGACGCAAATTTAGCGATTTGCCCTGAAAAACTGGTAATTTATTTTTAGCGAGATGTTATTCTAGCGATTTTGAAATGCACGGTAAAGAAGTTATAAGAAATAAATTGTTAACGATATTCAATTTTAGCGATCTCAGCACCCTCGTTAATAATGCCAAAATTAAATCCTCGCTAAAAATTCTACTTATACGGTACCTTCTGTTAAACAATGTTACAGCGGTGCTTTGGGATTAAAAGTTTATATGGTTTGATTTATTCGTTTTATTATTTATGCATTTATTTTGGTTACCTTATTATAAAAAAGTGTCGAAACTTTGAAAGCTAATCATATTCTTACTTATACAATCATTATGCATAGCCTTTTTCAAAAGCATATTGATTGCGTCATCATTAGATGAAGAGAATACTAATGGTCCATAGATATTCCTCTGATCCTTTGAAGCTAATTGTACAAGCTCGAAATGGTCAATCGCTTCTCCAATTCCTATTGTGATTATCACGTGATATGGCCACATCCGGAATCGTTCTGCTGCTTTCACGGCTGCATCTCTCACCCATTCTCAATATAAGGGCACAAATGCCTCTCTGATTTTTTAAAAAATGAGGTTCAAGATAACAATTTTTCTATCAATTACCTTTGAAAGAAAGAATCTGAAGATTTTGTTTCCAGATTTTTTTCATCAAATTATAATACATGGAATAATGACAAGACGATAAAGTAGAGGGTGATTTTATTCAGAAATGTAGCTTGAAATGTACGTTACTCTTTCTTCAATGTCCAAAAAAATATGTCAAAAAATGTAGTAATTAAAATCACAATTGGAAAATCTCATCTTAACACCAGCACATCCTACCAACTCTGTCAACAACATATTTTCGCGACATACGAACGTGCGTTTGATTTTTCCTTTCAAAAAACAAAGGTTACTTTTTGATCCAGATGTATGAAAACATTTTTTTTAAATATATGCTTTAAATTCTTCTCTCTGTTTTGTTAAGAGCGATCAGTTTGGAATCTTGTCATTTTTAATAGATACTGGAACCTAACATGTACATATAGTAAAATTCTTTTTTGTAGTTACTGTCCTTTTTAACATATATCCATGCCGATTTAGAAAACTATGTAAATGTAACGTACATTTCAAGGTAAATTTCTGTTTAATAAAAAGCTTAAAATTAATCTAAAATTCATTGCCTCAGAATATGAGTAGGTAACGTACATTTCAAGCTTGTAATAATATGTAAATTAGTAATAAGAAAATATGGAAAAAAAAGCAATTATTGACATAAAAATCATATCAATGAAGCGTTTTAAGGCAGTAATATAAGAAATCATAATGTAACAAACGAGGTTATTGTCATCAACTACATGACTGTCACGTCACTTTGGTAACGTTCATTTCACATATTATTGGAGAGTCCCCTAGGCCTCCACCTCAGTTCATTACCATTCTTTTGTGCTATTTCGCTGAAATTGACACCGGTCGAACCTAGTTACTTCTAACTGTGTACAAGGGTACAGACAAAAAAAATATAAGAGTCAGATGTATTTTGCTATGCTCTAACAAATGTTCGTGTTTGGTCATTGAAACTTAACATAAATCTATTCCAAATATATCCATCGACAGTCTTGTTAACAATTTCATTTAGTATGTTGCAACATCGTTTTTCAAAACACAAACATACGTGCTTTTCAGCAGATCTGGAAAAATATAACCCAAAATGCAATGATTCAAACAAAACTGAGTATTCAGTATTTGAAATGTACGTGACCGTCTTGTGTTCTGGGTTTATTTGTTTTGTTTCTTTTTCTTTTCTTTCTTTCTTTCTTTCTTTCTTTTTTTTTTTTTTTTTTTTTTTGTTTTTTTTTTACCAATTATAAGCCTATGCATACCTTGTTTTAAATTATCAACAACAATTCAATTAATATTGACGAAAAGTCGCATATGAAAAGTAAACAAACTGCAAAAAGGTTGCCAATTATGAATTTAAGACACTTAGAAATAAATTTTCTAGCATGTGGTAACAGTTTAAAACATTTACGATGATTGGGGGTGCATTAAGATGGATTTATGTGGCCAGTTGTCAAATGGATTGTAACGATAATTTTGTTTCGCTCGTGTAAACGCAATTCATTGACTAAATTTAAAAAAATGTTAGTTAGAAATACATAAAATGTACGTTACCATACGTAACGTACATTTCAAATATAAAAATCAATTCTCTTCCACAAGCATACGTTAGACACGCAATATATTGATACTATTTGAACCTGCATATCATAAGAAATGCATCATACAGGTTTCGTATTCAGAAATATATACCAGGTATCAAAATTATATTACATAATAATTGACCTTAATATATTTTTTTCCTCAGCAGAGACGTTTCTTTTCATTAATTTTGGGATTTAGCCGACCTCCAACCTTTAAAACTTTCCTTTGTGTACACATTCGAGTGTGTGAAAGTATTAGAATACATGAAAATCCGTGCGAGATTCACTTAATTCGAATTTCATGGTAACGTACATTTCAGTCACGTACATTTCAAATGATCACTTTTCATGTAAAAAATAATTTTTAATTGTGTTAAGCAAAACGTCTTTGCCAGTTTACAGGATACAAGGGGTTGCTTATTCAGATTCGTCTCAAATTTTCTACTTAATATGTATTCTTAATGGAATAATATAGGTAACGTACATTTCTTTCTTATCTCTACGATTGAAAATGTCTTTCATTCCGTAAACATATTTATAAAAGTTGCTCAAGTTGTTCAATTTCATGTTACATTATCTAAGTAGGAGTAATTTATCCTTTGAAATTTCAAATTTAGCCCATCAATAAATAAAGGAGAACAAAACTATCAGGTGTATAATCTTTGTGTTTGCTTGTAATGTGGTTGAAATAGAATTAAGCGACAGGGACATTGCACAATAAAAATTATTTATTATCACAAAGAAAATGTATTTATTGTTATGAAAAGAAATATATATGATACAAGGTTTAACTTATCAGAAAATTTTTACTTGAGAATCAAAACTATATATAACACAGAGGGGCTTCAGAATAATATTTGCCTCGGCGACAGTAACGTACATTTCAAATAGGCTACTATATTTGAATTTGGAACTCCTTAAATACCCTTTCAGATCGATAATTATATGAATTCTTATTCATTGTTATATGACTATTTATAATGTTGATTTAAAAATTACATCAGTGGTATTTCTTTTAAATGAAAATGAGGCGACATTATTTGAGCCCTTATATTGAGAATGGGTGTCTATCGGTTGAGAGCCCGTCTGATATGATGACGATGATTTTGTGTGATTTCTGTTTTGCATTTTTATCAGTGAGTATCTGTAAATCAAAGAAAGATTAAATATCATTATATGTTTTTTAAATTGTATTTTTGAAAAGAATTCCTTCTTAGTTTGATCAAAGTAACCATTCAAAATTATAAAAACTCACTTCGAGACTTTTTAACAGAGCATTTTCTGTGTATGTGGCACCTTGTGTCCTAGAGTTGATTCCCGAGGCAACACTTTTAATTTCCTCTGTGTTTTGATATTGACCGAGGGTTACTATTTCCATTGGTTCAAAATCGTATGAAATAACCGCCACTTGAAAACCGTCATTGCCTAGAGGCAACCTATCTAAAATTTTACCCATATACTCCAAGCATTTGTTTGTTTTGTTTTCTAAGCTAGAGGACGTGTCCACAACAAAGACAACATCAGCAGGACCAGGAATACAATCTAAAAGTAAATTTTAGTGACAAATGCATTTACTCCCTCCCTTTCAATTGTACGTAAATAAGAGTATACCAGAATCATCTAACTTTAAATACAATTTACGAGGCGAGAAAATGTACACCGACTGCATTAACTATATACCAATTACATTCTTAAAGCTGCTGAATGAATAGATTATTACAATGTTCAGTTGTATATCGACAGTTTTTCACTGAACTGCTTCTATTTGAATTAAAACTATTTCTCGTAGAACCCAGAAATGTTTTAGTTCTTAAATCTGTACTCCTGACTTTTTTCTTACCTATATTGCAGCTGTCTTTCATGTTGAACGTCAGGCCACAGTCACATTCATAAACACGTCCCTTGGGTGTGCATTTTCCATTATTCAAACAAGGCGAGGAGAGACACGCATTATCTATTTATAGTAAAATACGGATGTTTTAATTAACTAATTTGTAAAAAATACACTTTTAGGGAATAAATATTTTACAATACTTAACAATTTAAGATACAAAAAATATTTAGTCTCATTACTAGGACATATTTTGTACTTTATACTTTCGGCTTGGGCCGAAACCAAATGCTCGGGCTAAAACAAGGGCCGAGATCAAAACAGCAGTGTAATATTCTATATGTACAAAGCACTCAGTATAATATAATAATAAATACAGGATGTATTTGAGGAAAAAATCAAAAATTTTCACCAAAGGAAAAACCTGCGCCTCGGTTGATTATGGTTTTTCCTTTTGGTGAAATTTTTCAATGTTTTCCTCTGGCACCAACAAGCAGTGTTATATACTTGTATAAGATTACTTTCACAATATACGAATTTCTTTTTAGATTACGTACATTGACAAACATAGCCATTAAGATTGTAACATGGGATGTCATTCCACTGAAATATTCCTTCATATTTCCGAAGTTCTAGGCAATCTTCGTTGTTTCCGACGTTGTAGTTGTTGTTCGGCTCACCTGCATAAAAAAGACTTCAAAAGGCATTTGAAATTATAAAAATGATTTGACTTTATCTAGTATACAGTATTTAAGTACATGTAATAAATACCTTCCTTTTTTAATTAATGCAGTACTTAAAGAAGGCATTAATAAAATCCAAGAAAAGTTGTCAATGATAAGGTTTGAAATATGATTAAATTTTTTAAAAAAATTGAATTAAGATATTATCAAAATAGTGGATGTTTGTACAAAAACATAATTATCAACAGCTTGACCAAATAATATTACAAAATTAAATTACTAGTAATGTGCAACGCCAATGGATTTTTTTCCAAATCAGGGGACATTTGGGCCACAATAAGAGATTAGATATTGACATGAAGCATTAAGGGGACAATCTTTCTAAAATTTTGAGAAAGATAACACGACAAAATTCAACCGAGCATTTTAAAAAGTCTATGGGTACTTATGCACTTTTCTTAATTAATCATTTCGACAGCGTTTAACGTCTGAATGACACAGGTGAAAAAATTTCTAGGAAATGCAAAATGTATGAAAAATTTTCTTACCTGGACCCCAATGTAGTGGGGGGCCTATGGGGGTCCCATCTATCCACGTCCACAACCCACTGTCGGATTTCATCCCTCCTATGTAATAATAGCCAGTTTTATTATGTTTTTGAAGGTAATCTGAAAAATGATAATGAACTATTTAAAAATTGATCTTATTTTATTCTTAAATAAAATGTATAGCCAAATTAAAACAATGCTAGATATTAAATAACGGACGTTTTTCATATTTTTTGCTAAGCCATTATATACATTTAGTTCACTACTGATGTATATGTTAATTTGTCCGATCTTGACTAGGAACACACAGTGGGTGTCACCGATTGAAACTGGATGCTTATTCCTCCATTGAACCGAATCCTACTTCTACGCTTTACAGAGATTGTCTTTGCTCTGCTCTCGATATGCATTGATTCAGTTGAGTTTTGAGCTTAATTACTGGTAGTTATATCCATATTTATTTGATAAAGGGACATGTTTTACTTACTAACAATAAAGTTCTGGTCCTCATTAAACCGTGGAATCGCTAAACTTCCACCAAAAGTTTTACATTGTTCGTCTGCCTTGGGCCAGGTTAATTTCTTCTCATCTTCAAATAAATAAGCAAGTCCGTTCTCTGGACGAGTCTCCCAATTGCAAGATAATGTAGAGATAGAAAACCAGATTCCTTTTAATATATGTTATAATATAATGAGAGGCGTGTAAACGGAAAGTCAGAGGGAGGAGGGAAAAAAGAGATGGGATAGAAAGAGCAGATACTTAAAACTTATTACATTTAGCGGTATATTCTATTTAGAAAGCAGAGTCCGCTAAGTCAAGTTCATTGCTAAATGTCTTGTATATCATACCTTTATATCTAGCACATTCAGATAGCACTAAAGCAAATCTAAGCTTACTTGTTGAAAAATTAATTTCCGCCAAATATTGTACACGCCAAAAATTATACATTTACAGTACATACCAAATGCTATGAATAACCACCAGTGTTTTATTTTTTTTTTTTCAAAATAAAATCCACAAGTCCTAAATTTATGTCCTGATAATTAGGATTGTTGAACTTCCTAATGACGAAATATCTGATCAATAATATCTTGGCATTATTTCAACATAAACGTTCATTGAGATTCTTCAAAATTTAATAAATTAGAGGAAAAATAAAAATTCATTCAAAATCAAACAACTACAAAGATTAGATATAAGTGGTAATGTAATGTATGAAAAACGTGCGCGCCCGCGAGAGAGAGAGAGAGAGAGAAACTTACCCATTGTCATGAATAGCCTCCAACGTTTCATTTTATTATTATTGTTTTGGTAATATACGTATAAAATCCACAAGCCCGGAATTTGTTGAATTAAGTGTGGATCATGAGACTTTCAAAAAATTAATCATAGTTTAAATCCTCTGATTAATCTTTATTCAATTTATTTCAATATAACGACAACTCTCCACAATTTACTAGTTCTAGCGAGCAAACATGAAATGATAAAGAAAAAACTTTCATTATTTAATCGGACAGATTAAACTGACTGACTTCTAAATTTAAAAGTCGAACCTTTGCTTTAAACACATTACTTCGGTTGCTAAAAATAAATTTCTAAAAGGAACTGATTTTAGATAATATATAGTGATTTGACCCATAAAAAAAAGGATTTTTTTTAAATCGGAAAGAAGGAAATCGAAATATATTGTGATTTGACCCATAGAAAAGGGTTTTTTTTAATCGGAAAGAAAGAAATGGAAAGTAAAATGTAAAACGTTCAAAAGTTTAATTCATACTAATTTAGTATATGAATTAAATTCTTTAAAAATGATATTTGGTATTACATTCAAAACAAAGCTAAATTTTGGAATGAAGTCAATATTTTATTTACATTTTCGTTATACTATAGAATGTACATCCCTTTTTACATAGATCTTTTGGGCTCTCCTCATATAAATGATGTACTCTTTTTTTCGTTTCTCGGAAATAATTAATGTAAACTTACATTTTCCTTTAATCATACCTCCTCCAGCGAGGTGCTTGTATGTATTTATGTATGAACTATTCTCGGGGGGGGGGGGGGGGGGGGGGGCTATCGAACGTTAATTGTTAGGAAAATTTTTTTTAAAAATCGGTACCATTTGATGATTTCATTTCTTCAGTAAATAAGATAAACTTTGAGAAAATGTATAAAAGAGAGACAGAGGAAGAGAGAGAACAAATAATATTTTCTTATAAACACGTGTCGTACATGTTACTTTCCTGGATTTCAGAAGAAAAGTGTACATTTCACTATCCTTTGTAATACAAAAAAAAAAATCATATTTTGTACATTAAAATATCAATATTTTGGATGGAAATGGTTGCAAAATCCAATTTTGTCTGAGGTTCATTTTCAGAAAAACCATTCGATATTTAATTTTGGAAGGGGAAAATTCTTTTTAGCTCACCTGAGCCGAAGGCTCAAGTGAGCTTTTCTGATCCCATTTTGTCCGGCGTCCGTCTGTCCGTCTGTCTGTCTGTCTGTAAACTTTTCACATTTTCGACTTCTTCTCAAGAACCGCTAGGCCAATTTCAACCAAACGTGCCACAAAGTATCCTTGGGTGAAGGGGATTCAAGTTTGTTCAAATGAAGGGCCACGCCTTCATTCAAGGGGAGATAATTGGGAATAAATGAAAATTTGGTGGCATATTTGAAAAATCTTCTTCTCAAGAACCACTGTGCCAGGAAAGATGAAACTTATGGGGAAACATCCTTAGGTAGTGTAGATTCAAGTTTGTTCAAATCATGACCCCCGGGGGTAGGGCGGGGCCAAAATGGCCGACCAAAGTTTTACATAGAAATATATAGGAAAATTCTTTAAAAATCTTCTCAAGAATGACAAAGCCATAATTCATCATATTTATATGGGAGCATGCTCAGGTAGTGTAGATTCAAGTTTGTTCAAATCATGACCCCCGGGGGTAGGGCGGGGCCAAAATGGCCGACCAAAGTTTTACATAGAAATATATAGGAAAATTCTTTAAAAATCTTCTTCTCAAGAATGACAAAGCCATAATTCATCATATATATATGGAAGCATGCTCAGGTAGTGTAGTTTCAAGTTTGTTCAAATCATGACCCCTGGGGGTAGGTTGGGGCCAAAACGACCGACCAATGTTTTACATAGAAATATATAGGAAAATTCTTTAAAAATCTTCTTCTCAAGAATGACAAAGCCATAATTCATCATATTTATACGGAAGCATGCTCAGGTAGTGTAGATTCAAGTTTGTTCAAATCATGATCCCCGGGGGTAGGGCGGGGCCAAAATGGCCGACCAAAGTTTTACATAGAAATATATAGGAAAATTCTTTAAAAATCTTCTTCTCAAGAATGACAAAGCCATAATTCATCATATTTATATGGAAGCATGCTCAGGTAGTGTAGATTCAATTTTGTTCAAATCATGACCCCTGGGGGTAGGGTGGGGCCAAAATGGCCGATCAAAGTTTTACGTAGGAACAGATAGGAAAAATCTTTAAACATCTTCTTCTCAAGAATGACAAAGCCATAATTCATCATATTTATATGGAAGCATGCTCAAGTAGTGTAGATTCAAATTTGTTCAAATCATGACCCCCGGGGGTAGGGCGGGGCCAAAATGGCCGACCAAAGTTTTTAAAGATATATATAGGAAAATTCTTTAAAAATCATTTTCTAAAAATAGCAAATCCATGATTGGTCATGGGACTACTTTTGGATTTAAACTTTACAATAAAAAGCCATTTTCTACTTTTTCCTACCCTTAGTGCTCAGGTGAGCGATGTGGCCCATGGGCCTCTTGTTTAAGAATGCAACCAGTCAAATTAAGATTTTAACCAAGTGTAAATATTTTTACCTGGCTTTTGAATTTGGAAATGTTGAAGACAAATAGTTTTGACATTGATCTAAATAGTACTATAAGTTTTCGATCTCAACCAGTAATTTATGAATCTTTTTGTATAATTATGGAGAAATTGTTTTAAACTTGTAGAATAGTCAAATAGAAAATCATGAATCACATAAGATCTTTTTCTTCTAACATGAGTTTTCTTTAAATTGGATCGATCACAAAGGTGAGAGTCATTCAGAAATCTAATGGTCATTTATACATAAAGTGAATAACAAATGTGCTCAGTAAATGAATTTTTTTTTTGTGAACACTTTCTTTTGTATTATTTTCAGTTGATAGCAAAATCAATGCTTCAATTCATATTGACTTCTGTTTTACTTGTTTCATTTTAAACAAACTTTTATACGAGACGCGGGGAAGGTAGGGCTGAGAAGAAAAGACCTTTTTGTCCATGTATCCGATAAGGAACAAAAAAAGATTGGCTTTTTAAATCTGCCTCTCTCATCACGTATTTGTCTCTACCTGCTACCGGTCATGGAGGTTTAATAGAAGGGTATTTGCTCCATGAGAGACCAAAGTTCGATTCTTGTTCGCTGCATCGCGACAAGCATAGATAGTGACTTACCTTTCGCGAAGCACCGGTTTCTAGAAGTGAAGATCACGGGTCATTCGGGTGAGAATCTTGAAACCGAGGTGACATCTCTGCTTGAGTAAACAAGTCTCAAATGGAGCGTAAAATAAAATATAAATATTCAATCGATCTTCTAATAATGAACAAATCTTTTTTAAAAGCATTTCTATTATACGTACATAATCTACCAAATTTACAATAAGTTCTAAAATGACAATTTCTCAAACTAATAAATAATAATGCCATCGATAGTTTGAAGGATCTTTTATTGGACTTGGATTTACAAAGAATATGTTGGTTATATAAAAAAATAAAATCATTATTCTAACCCAATCAAAGCTATACAAGGATTTACTCTGAGTTGTATTTTATATGCCATATAGACTTTACTTTCAGTGTGCTTTGAATAAAGCACATGATGAATCTGCTAAAACCATTGTTTGAACATTTATAACTTTAATTTTGACCTCACAACCTTCTATACGAGACAACATATGAACAGATATAGACTAATTAACACATTTTTTAAATGTTAAGTAACTGCTATCCCTTCCAAACTAATTTCAAAACAGAAGTTATAGATCAAAAGACACCTTATGTTCAAAAGATTCTAAAGAGTTTGCTATGTTGAATGACACCTAAATAATGATTCAAAATGCTTGTAATTATTTTGCATTGTGGATGTGCAATCTTTGATTTTAGAAATAAATAAAATAAGGAATTCCTTTTAAATTGCCAACTTCTCTCGCAGACAATAACACAGTATTGTTAAAAACGGGTTTGTTCCGAAACAGCATAAGATTTTAGTGGCATTTATTTATATATTACAAGGCGGCATTATTTTGAATATTCAGTTACGGCTTTGCATGAGCTACGCCATGATCGAAATTGATGTTTTCCACACATACATCTTCGTGCGCAAAATTTTCCATCTTGCGCATATTCATGTATACTTAAGCTGTGCAACAATATGAAGTCTCATTTTGATATAGGAATAACCTGGCAATCGTAGAATTGTTCTAATTTCAATATTGAATTTTGCCCTTTGAGCATTTCTAGGCTGGTCAAATTCTGTGATTTGTAGAGTTTCTTATACAATCCATTTATGTCAAAGGTAAGCTCTGCCAATTTCAAATGTTCCTAACGCAAATCATACAAAGTGTCTGGTCAAAACAAAGATGTCTGAAAAGAACCTAGAATGTAAATTGCAACCAGAGAAGCAGAGATGTCTCAGCCCAGTATCTTTGTTTTTTCTTTGAGTTTATACAATGACATTGTCAGCAAAAACAATTTTTTCATTAAGTAAAATGCTGAATGACGTTTTTCATACTAATTGTTCAACCATTATTTACACACTTAATTCTCCATGATTGTTTCCGTTATTTCCAGATCATGATAAGGAGCACACGGCGGGTGTGACCGATCGACAGGAGCTGCTCACTCCTCCATGGCACCTGATCCCAGCTATAATGTCTTAAAGATCCGTGTTTGCTCTGATCCAAATTTGTTGTATTTAATGGACTTTTGAGCTTGAATATTCTCTATATCTTTTATATACGTATTTTAGTATCTCATTATGCAGATATTCTGTTGTTTCAAAACAGTTACTAGTATTTAGGTGAAAATCCTCAGGAAACGATTACAAGTTTTTATCGAGTCACATAGTTTTAAAGTGTGCTTGTGACGTTGTGTGCTTTTTGGGAGCTTGTTGCCATAGTGTTTTGGGGTTAAAAACAATGCATTGTCCTTTTGTGGACCTTAACATTTAGTTTACTACGAATTTTAATGTTGCACTATACAGATATTAAAATTCAAAATAAATTCCAACTTTAGTACTTCTCCGCAACTGTCACAAGAAGTTTACCTAAATCAAAATATATCAGATAACAGTAACTATAAAAACTACAAATTCAGTGGACTTTCCGAGAAAAAAGTAAGTAAATCTTATAATTCACAATTAACGCTAAAACTTTGGGATACAATGATATCTATGATATTCCATCTTTTCTTCTCATTGATGTAAAAAACATAGAAAGGATCTTGCACTACTCTGTATAAGGTGGTGAAATTAGAATCCTTTGTTACTGCCACAATCATCGTTGTAATGTTCTGTCGGCTTAGATCTCCGATTTTATCCTCAACTCTACTCACTTTTGACCAGTGGCCATCTGTGATGATCACAATAACCTTGTGTCTTTTGGCACCAGATGACACACCAGATGAAACACCAGATGAAAGAAGTTGAACAGCTGCTTCCGACAGTAAACTCTCTATATTAGATTCTGATTTCTTCCCAGGATTAAGTTTCTGCAAGCTTACCAGAAATTGTTCGTCATGGCTGTAATATGCAAAGTCGTCTATATCGAAAGATATTCGACCGACTCGGACATCCTTTTTTGTCAAAAAATATTTAAGGGCTATTTCTGATGCAACACTCAGCGAGTTCTTGAAATCAACTCCGGAGAAATTATTGTCTTGTATAATTATAACGTCAGTATTGTTAGAGATGCTACAATCTGAAATTAAGCAGTACTGTTTAGTTTTCACTTTGTCTTCGTATGCTTCCTTTATCATTTTAGACCATTTGAATAATATCATAGTGTTTCCAACTTATACAATTAGAATTTTTAACATTGACTTATTCTCTATGACTAAAGTAATACATTTCCAAATATATACATTTTATTTTCTGTTAAACAATTTGTCATCTGTGCTTTGGGATTAAAATTTTGCATTTATTTATTAAATCGTTTTCTTATTATTTTTTTTTGTTCTTGCATTAATTGTTGGTCAATTTTTATACATGTAAAAAGGTAACGAGGCTTAGGAATCAAATAAATTCTTACTTGTACAGTCTTTATGCATTGCCTCTCTTAGAATCATATTAATTGCTTCATCATTAGATGAAGAGAATACTAATGGTCCATAGATGTTCTTCTGATCCTTTGAAGCTAATTGGAGTAGCTCAAAATGGTCAATTGCTTCACCTATTCCTATTGTGATTATCACGTGATATGGCCACATCCGGAATCGTTCTGCTGCTTTAATGGCTGCATCTCTATCGGTTGATAGCCCATCTGATATGATAACGATAATTTTGTGTGCTTTCTGTGTTGAATTTTCATCAGTGAGTATCTGTTTTTCAAAAAAAAAAAATAAAAGAATGAATATTATTAAGATCTTTTTCACTTCCTGAAAAGTACTCTTTATTAGTTTTTATATTATATTTATTTAAAAAATTTTAAAGCTCACTTCAACACTTTTCCTCAGGGCATTTTCTGTGTACGTGGCGCCTTGTGTTTTAGAGTTGATTCCTGTAACAACATTTTTAATATCCTCTGCATTTTTATATTGCTTAAGCTTGATAAGTTCCTTTGGTTCGAAATCGTACGAAATAACCGCCACTTGAAATCCATCATTACCCAGAGGCAGTCGATCTAAAATTGTACCCATATACTCCAAGCACTTGTTTGTTTTGTTTTCTAAGCTAGAAGATGTGTCCACAACAAAGACAATATCAGCGGGACCAGGGCTGCAATCTGAAAATAATAAATTGATACATTTAATTCAAAAATAATAAATTGATAATTGATAAATTGATCTAATTAGGCATCAGTCAGATGTTTAATTTAATTTTTTTTTTGTTTATTTACATTGTTTTCATAATTTAGGTGTTCTGATCTTGCTTTACGTTTCCTCATACTTTTGCAAATTATTACCTCTAGTTCTTCTAGAAATTATTGGAGATTACAATATCAGGAACAAATATTTTTAATTAGAACTCCACTTATAACAAATTAAAACTGAATACTTAAATTCAGATAAAATATGAATAAAAGATTTATAAAATATTTTATTCTATATCATTTCTCATTTACTTTTATAAACACAGATTAATCTTAATTGAATTTTTTTTTCAGACAAAAATTTTTGATTTTATTTACTTTACTTTTTGACATGAAATATTTCTAGCATTAGAGCTTATAATATGTATATACATAATCCGACATTAAGAAGAATGTTGACTGACATTTTTCAAACTAATTATTAAGGCATTACTCACATTGCGTAGTGTTTAATAATTTCTATTTTTTTTATTATTACAAGGTTTATTTACACGACGCGAGTGACCGGTCGACAGAGGATACTTTATGCTTCATGGCATCTGAATTATAAGATCAGCGTCAGGACTCTTTGTTAATTTGACTTACCTATGTTGCAGTTGTGTTTATTGTTGAAGGTCAGGACACATTCACACTTATACGCCAATCCCATGGGTACACAAGTTCCGTTGTTCATACAGGGCAAGGGAAAACACGCATTATCTATGTTTCAAAACATTTTCAAATTAGACTTCTTTGACATTCCTTAATTACTATACACTATTTAATGGTTCAGTAGTTAAAGATATCAAATTGAAAGAAAAAATTTTGGTGTCATAATGTTCAACTAAAGTTTTTAAAAAACTTTTCTTAAAGACCGTGCTAGGTCAAAACATTACAATATATTAAAATTAAATCGTGAAATCTTGATATCATAATTTTGAAAGGCTTGAAAGATGTTTGTTGACATTTTTTACCATTCAATTTACAATTTGTTTCTACATTGCATTTATTCTCATACAATTGATGACGTACATTGACAAACATAACCCTTTGGACTGCCACAAGGGATGTCATTCCATTTTCCATTGTCACGAAGTTCCATGCAATTTTCGTTGTTTCCTTTGTGGTTGTTTGGTTCACCTGCACACAATGTAAGATATTAAAAGAAAACAATTAATACACGTATGAAGTATGAAAGCCCTAAAAGCAACTGTTCAAAAGTTAAGGCCAAGGTTTTTTTTTTAAGGAGGGTGACACTCCAAGGTCAGAGTCAAGAGGTAAAATGGTGGAACCCAAAGATAGGTCTTGTCACATGAAATATGAAATTCAGAGCCCCTTACGTTACAGTGTATGGGCTAGGTTAAATTTTTTGTGGACAAACAGAAAAATAAACAGACAGACTGACGGACAAGGCAAAAAATTAGGTACCTCCAAATCTTCCTTTACGAGGGCATAAAAATGTTTTCAAATCCAGCATCCGAAGCAAGTTTAAAAGTTCATTCCCTGATGCATCATTCATACGAATTTGGTGCAGATAGCTCTTATATACAGTTTCTAAGTAATAGACATGCACCGAAAACTTCAACCTGTACAGATTCAGCATTAAAAGCCAGTCTATTAGTGTGCATCCTTAGATGTTTCATCCACGCAAGTTTGGTCAACATTGGACTCATAGCTACTTGGAAATGAGACCTGCAGGAAAACTTTGACCCTGCACCCAAAATTGTAACCTGCTCCAAAAATACTAATCTGGTGAAATTGCAACAGCAGCTGAATCTTTGGATGGTAAAAAGAAACGTCTGGAAGCATCCTCCATTCATTTGATTAATGTAGGTCATAAAAGTACTTAAAAAGAAAATTGCACCAAAATCTTTAACCTGGTACCGAATTTAACTGACCTGCAACATATATTAAGCTCACCCAACTTCGTCGAGTTGAGCTAAAAATCAGAATTGCGCTTTTATGCTTCTTAGTATGTAATGAATATTTAAACGCAGAATCAACAAAACATTTTTTTACAGACGGGCCTTATAGTGGATCTGATACATAGGGCTCATCAAAAGGTAAACGTGACCTATAGGGGGATTTAGAAAAGATTCCGTACCTATAGGAGTCAAAAAAGCATCCCTAACCTGAGTCCCAGCGTGGATCCTCATGATTGATAGGGGTCCCGTCTAACCATGCAAAATTTCCGCTGTCGGATCTCCTACCTCCTATGTAATACTTTCCAGATTTAATGTTCTCTAAAAATAATAAATGAATGATTCAAACTCGAATTGTATTAGTCAAAATCAAACAATGTTTACAATTGATAGTAAAATTTATTTTACTTACTAACGAGGAAGTTCTGATCTTCATCAAAGCGTGCCATCGCTACTGATCCCCCGAAATTATTACATCGCTTTTCTGCCTCAGACCAGGTTACTTCTTCATCTCCAAAAAAATAGGCAAGTCCATTGTCTGGACGAGTCTCCCAGTGGCATAGTATTGTAGGGAAGGAAACGATGATTCCTTTGAATATAAGTGGTTAATTATAATTCGTGAAATGGGTGTGCAAGAGAAAGAAAGAAAAAAGTGAGAGAGAAAAGAACTTACCGAATGTTATGAAAAGCGTCCAACGTTTCATTTCGTAAGTACATGTATTAAATAAAAATCCAAAAGCCTAAATATAGATTGAAAATAAGGATCATGGGATATAGTCGAATAACAATTATATTTCAAAGTATCTGATCAACCATATCATTATTTCAATATTAGATTCAACTGATATACAATTGAATCAATCTATAGAAAAATTCCTTCAATTGTTAACAAAATGCACAAAAAAGATAATAAACAAAGTCTAATTACCCGGTACTATATCGATCAAAATTACATGACTTCATTCTAAATACAAAACATGCACATTTGCTTTAAAGACAGAAATTTGGTCGCTAAAAATAAATTTGAAGAAAGATCCAATTAAGATAACATACTTCAAGTGATTGGCTTCGTCATTGGGGGGTATTTTTAATCTTGAGAACGGAAAAAAATATTGGATCAAAAAAAAATTAAAACGGCGGGAAATGTTAAGTTTGAAAGATTTAAATACCAGATTATGACTGGTGTTTTTTTGTTCTACAACAGAAATTTTGATAAGACGTCAATATTTTTAAATTCCATTTCACAAGTGTGAAAGACTTTTTAAAATTTTTTTTTTAATTAACTACTGCTTAGTTAATTACATTTTTAAAACTTGGTCAATCCTTCTCTACTATAAAATGTACTTATGTATTATGTACTCGATGGACATTTAAGGAAAGAGAATTTGGTCCTATTAGGGTAGGAAATCCTAAGTTAGAGATCAAAGACACCTCATATTCAAAAGATTCTAAAGAATTTACTTTGTTGAATAACATCTAAATTATGGTTTAAAGTGTTTGTTATTATTTTGCACGCAAATTACAACTCTCTTGTAAATGTGCAATCTTTGCATTTTGGTAAAAAATTAGAAATTCCTTTTTGATTGCCAACCTCTCTTGCAGACAATGTTATTCTTAAAATCTGGGTTTCGAAATTGCACATAAAGTGGCATACATGTAAGTTGTATATTTCTATATTACAAGGCGGCAGAGTTTGTCACACGATTAATTTATGAAAACGGGAAACTCTGCCTATTTCAGACGTTTCTGACAAAAATCACACAAAGTATCTGGACGCGTTCAAATTGTTTCGATTGAACGTATCGAACACATAGCTTATCTGAGCTGTAAAATATAATATATATTATTACTTTTAGCTGGACAGACAAAAAGAAAAGATGCCATCATTACATAGAAATAATAGTTACAAACAATAGAGTCTGATGTCAAGTCGAAGACGACTGAAAAGAAACTACACCGCAAATTGCTTAAAAAAGGCAGATACGTCTCATGCAGACCGATATCTTGGTTTCCTCTTAGAGTCGATAAATAATGACCTTATATGCAAACACCGTCAATCATCAAGTCAAATATTGACTGACGTTTTTCATATTAATTGTTAGATCATTATTTACATCCTGAACACTGGGGGATGCTCACTCCTACATGGCACCTGATCCACTAAGATTTAAGACATTATTGGTTGCTCTGCTTCAAAATTTGTATTGTTTCATGGACTCTTGAATACTCTCTTTATATTTCATGTATGTATTTTGGTGTCTTATATGCAGTTATCCTGTTCTTTCAAACATCATGAAAAAACGATCAGAAAATACTTTGATCGTGTCACTTTGTTTAATTAAGAAATAAACAGCAAATGAATGTTAAATAGTCTTCTGGGAAATGAACTTAATTGGTCACGTGATCAATCCTGTGAAGCCCGAAGGCATCTCAGTAGATTTGATCATGTACCAACCAAGTTCATTTCCCAGAGAACTTTTTACCATTGTTGTTTATTATATTTACATTTGATATGAATAAAATCCGAGTAAAACTGCATTTATTATACGAACGGGCCGCCGTATTGCTATGTTGTGACGGGCAATTTAGTCTTGAGAGTTCGATTTGACTGCTTACATTCATATTCAGCAGTCCAGCTCAGGAATTCTCTGTTTATAATGAAAGAACAATGATCACTGCTGAGAATAATCTTAGTATTTCATGAATTCATATAACACTTAAGGTCAAAAGCGGTGGTATCGCCTGTTTTAGTTTACATAAGTCCAAAAGAATTTCGGGTTTAAACAGGTAAGTTCGGCTTTAGGCTAATTATAGTATTCAAAACATTTTTCACATTGAAAGAAGATTTATTGTACATCTGTTGATTGAAAATTATCCATATTTTTCAATCATTTTATCCTTTTCATCGCTATCAACTTTGAAATATCCCGAAACCAGTTGAACCGTGGCAGAAATATGAAGGCAAAATATCATCTCGCCGTGTGATTCAAGTTCATACAAAATTGAACATATTTTCTCTCCAATGGGTTTATCTAAGAAAAATATTTGATAATGCAAATAAAGTGTTGTATACACAAAATTTTGTGCTCTTGGGGGGACCTTCTTGCCATAGTGTTTTGGGGATAAAAACAATAGTTGCATTGCCCTATTGTGGGCCAAGACATTTTTTTACACTCTATGATCAACTGATTTCAATGTTGCATTATAGACATATTAGAATTTAAGAGAAATTCCGCCCTCAGTACAGTTCTCAGCAACTGTCACAAAAAATTTTACCTTATTCAGAATATAACAAATAAAAGTAGTTGTAATAACTATTGATTCAATAGACAATGGACTATCCTAGATTTAAAAAAAGTATGTCTTAAAATTAACAATTAAAACTTTGGGATACAATGATATCTATGTTGTTCCATCTTTTCTTTTCATTGATGTAAAAAAACAGAGAATGGGTCATGCACCACTCTGTATAAGGTGGTAAAATTAGAATCCTCCGTGACAGCCACAATTATAACTGTGATGTTTTGTCGACTTAGATCTTCCATTTTCTCTTCCACTCTGCTCACAATTGACCAATGACCATCTGTTATGATAACAAAAACTTTGTTCCTGTCCACACCAGATGAGACAAGTTGAACTGACGTATCAGTCAGTAAACGCTCTATATTAGAATCCAATTTTTTCCCGGGATTAAAATTTTGTAAGTTTGCCAGAAACTGTACGTCATGACTGTAATAAGCAAAGTCGTTCCCATCAAAAGATATTCGCCCAAGTCTGATATCCTTTCTTGTAAGAATAAATCTGTGAGCTATTTCTGTTGCAACATTCAATGAGTAATGAAAATCATCTCCAGTCAATGCATTGTCCTGAATAATTATGACGTCAGTTTTGTTAGAGACACTGCAATCTGAAAACAAGTTAATTTTTAAATATAAGACAATGTTTTTTTTGTCTCCCATTTTGGCATATACATGTATATTACATCTTTTAATATATTGTCAAATACTTCACTGTCAAAGCTTTACTTTATTTAAAATCTAGGAAGTCCAAGACTTCTATGCAGGGATGCATTTTATATGTTCTTCATAAACACAAAAACGACAAAGTAAATCTAATCAAACCTTACTTGAACAATCTTCGTGCAAAGTCTTTCTTAGGATCAAATTTATTGTGTCTTCATTAGACGAAGAGAATACTAAAGGCCCGTAGATGTCCATCAGATCTTTTGAAGCTAGTTGGACTAGGTCGAGGTGATCAATTGGCTCGTCTATTCCTATAGTAAGAATGACGTGATGTGGCCACAAAATGAAGCGTTCTGCTTCATTAATGGTTATGTATCTATCAGTTGACAGGCATCTGATATGATGACGATGAGTTTGTGAGCTTTCTTTTTCGTATGTTTATCACTGAGTATCTGGTTAAAAATAAAGCAAAAAATCAATAATTCCTCTTATCATCATTTTTTTGAATATTATTTTCTACAGATTATACGGAATTTGAACAATATTCATTTGAATTAATTAAAAAATACTTTGGAACTTTTTCTCAAAGCTTTTTCAGTGTAGGTGGATCCCTTTGCTTTAAATCGGATTCTTGTCATTTCTTCTTTAATCGTTTCTGCTTTTTGATATCGGCCAAGTGTGATATGTTCCAATGGTTCAAAGTCGTATGAAATAACCGCCACTTGAAATCCTTCATTGCCTAGAGGTAGTCGATCTATAATTCTATTCATATACTCTAAACATTTGCTTGTTTTGTTTTCTAAACTTGACGAGGTGTCCACAACAAAAACAATATCAGCAGGTCCAGGATTGCAATCTAAAAGTATTTGTTACACAAGATTGTTTTTAAGAGTTTGCATGACTAAGATAATCAACATTTTTAGAACGTATGAGCATGACAAGTAATAAATCGTTTGTCTTTTGGGAAGAGAAAAGGGAAATAAATATTTCATTATTGTAAGTCTGTGTAAGAATTTGATGATAAGGCAACCTGCAGAAATATGACAAACCTATATTGCTGCTGGATTTATTGCTAAAAGTCAGTTCACATTCACATTCGCAATCCATTCCCTGGGGTGTGCATGTTCCATTATTCATACAAGGCGAAGAAAGACATGCATTGTCTATTTACAAAAATATGCAAATTACATCCTTTTTCAAAAACATTAAATTATTATGCAATAAAATAAAAAAAAATCAATTGCAAAGTTTATACAATATTTATATTTTGATGATTCTAGCTTCATATATTTTTTTTTCAGGGAGGAGGTGGTTAAACAATAATTTATAACATTATTACCGATACCTACACTGACATACATAACCATTCAAATTGAAGCAATGGATATCATTCCACATAAATTTTGAGCCATACATCCTAAATTCCATTCAGCATTCATTATTTCTGCGGTTGTTGGGTTCACCTGCAAAAAAATATTCAGTAACGTTACAATATCATCAATTTCATATTTCTTAATACTTCCATTTCTATTTGCTTTATCTGTTGAAACTCTTTGACAGTTAGTTCAGTTGATTTCTTGATCATTCTACCGGAATGTACATTTCGTCAAGAAGAGGAGGCCTATTATGCATGTAAATCTCGTGCGTCCGTCTTTTCTGTATGTAAATTCATATGTTCCCCCGATTCTTTTCTGTATGTAAATTCATATGTTCACCCGATTCTTTTCTGTATGTAAATTCATATGTTCACCCGATTCTTTTCTGTATGAACAACAATTTTCATATTGTTTGGAACATATAAAACCTAACACCTTCGAGTGTGAACTGCAAGATTCATACTATTTTTATCATCATGAGTTTAATTCCTCACTTCAGAGCATAGACTGCTTTGGGGAACTACAGGTACGTACAGATGAATATTTCTATGACAACATTTATCAAACAAGAGGCCCATGGGCCTTATAGGTCACCTGAGCATCATGCAACAACTTTCCAATGATGGAATTTGGTTCATGTTTTAAACTAGACATCATGGCCCTCACAATTTTGAAAGAGGCACCATTGCTAATCATAACTATACACTTATCATGTTTAGTTTGGTTACTTAATACCCATAGACAGAGTAGGGGAACAAAAAATGCATTTCAAATAATCAGTAATATTCAGCACTAATCAGAAGTGCCACAACCATACATAAATCCCTGACCCTTGATCCACACATTTCACAATTTCGGAAAAGGCAACCTTGTTTATCAAAAATGTTTGATTAATACCAAGGAGCAGATTTCAAATAATTAATTCATTTTCAATGTATAAGTAGACCCCCCTCTATGGTACCCCTGACCCTGATCCAAGAAATTCACAATTCAGGAAGAATGGCCCTTGCTCATCATAGCTGTATATTAGGTAGTTCATCTGCTAAATACCCAGCAGCAGAAAAGGAAATTTTCAAAGATTTAATGTATTTTTACTATATAATCAATAGAGTCCCACCATAAGACCAGAACCCCTGACCCTGGGATTATAAACTTCACAATTTTGGAAGAGGCATTCTTTCTCATCATAACTATATACTTAGTTTGTTTGTTTAATACCCAGGAGCAGAGAAAAAGATTTTCAAAGAATTAATGTATCTTCACTATATGATAAATAGAGCCCCGCCCTAACACCAGAACTCCTGACCCTGGGACCATAAAATTCACAGTTTTGGAAGAGGCATTCTTCCTCATCATAACAATGTACTTAGTTAGTTTATTTGATATCAAGGAGAAGAGAAGAAGATTTTTAAAGAAATAATGCATTTTCACTATATAATCAATAGAGCCCCGCCCTAGCACTAGAACCCCTGACCCTGGGGCCATGAATTTCACAATTTTGGTAGAGGACTCAATTGTCATTGCATTTATTCTAACAATTTGACTGCTTGATGTCCAGGAGTAAAGAAGAAGATTTTTATAGATTGCATTAATTTTAATGGTTTTGCTCCCCCCCTCAGGCCCCAAGGGCGGGGGGGGGGGGGGGGAGCGGGGGGCAGGGACCATGAAATTCAAAAATTTTGTTCCCCTTCACCCATAGATGCTTAATGCCAAATTTGGTGGAAATTGGTTGAGTGGTTGCAGAGAAGAAGCTAAAAATGTTCAAAAGTTTACGACCGATTGACGACGAACGACGTACGACGATGAACGAAAACAGTGATTTAGGTGACCTAAAAAGGGAGATAATACGTATCATTTCGTAAAACCCAAATCGCAGAAAAGCAGTAAACAGTTGTCGCGAAAAGGCAACAAGGTTCTAAATAAACTAGCAATACAGGCCTTATAAAAAGGGACACAGTAAACACAGATTCAAGTCTTACCCGGAGCCCAGTACCTTGGGCCATTCACATTCACAATTGTCCCATCTACCCAGGTTAATATCCCGCAATCGTTACATGGTCTCCTGCTCCTATTTGATAGTTTCCCGTCAGAAGGTGTTCTTAAGAATCAATAGAAAATAGATCATATTTCAATTTGTATTGTCAGGAAATAAAATATTCAAAAATTGGTGCATAAAACAATTAAATGAATTCTGCAATTCTGAGATTGTGGTTAACTTGAAATTGTAGTTAATTGCATACTTACTAACGATAAAGTCTTCATCTTCATATGAATGCACAGTCGCTAATTTTCCACCAAGGTCTTCACATCGGTATTTTGCCACATCCCAGGTTACACTTTCTTCGTTAAACAAATATGCAAGTCCATTATCTGGACGAGTCTCACTCCGGTATGATACCCCAGTAACGGAAAACCATAGATATGTATCTTTAAAAATACATATTAACAAATGATAACTGTGTGTGTGTGTGTGTGTGTGTGTGTGTGTGTGTGTGTGTGTGTGTGTGTGTGTGTGAGGGTGTGTGTGTGTGTGTGTGAGGGTGTGAGGGTGTGTGTGTGAGGGTGTGTGTGTGTGTGTGAGGGTGTGTGTGGGGGGGGTGTGTGAGAGAGAGAGAGAGAGAGAGAGAGAGAGAGCACATACTTACTAAATATAATGAAGAGTCTCCCATCTTTCATTTTAAAGGTGTTAAATTCGCATTATGTCTTGAAATTATGCTTGAAATAGCCTTCCGGATAGCAATTCAGTATACCTCGTTACAGCATAAAAGTTAACCGTTTTACATTGTAGTAGGTTTGAAGAGAAATTTCTCAAAATTAAGCAAAATACAGGATAAAAATAGAGAACAAAGATTTTAAATAACCAAGCAAGTAATTTTAAAGACATAATGTGATTTTTTCCCCTTCACAACACAGAAATTTGATAAGGTATAAACATATTCAGGGACGTAGCAACAGGGGGGGGGGGGGGGGCAGGGGGGGCCTGCCCCCCCCCTTTTTTGGCCAACATTACCTTTACTATAGGAAATGTTCATTGAAAGGAAGGTTGGCCCCCCCACATTTTACCATAGTATAGTGTTATCAAGGATTTGTAGGAAAAAAAATTGGAAGTGAAAGTAATTTGGCTTTCAAAAAGTTGGCCACTACCCCCGCACCCCCCCCCCTTCCCCCACTAAATAGGATTTTCGACTTTGGTAGACAATTAACTTTCCTTTTTTTTTTTTTTTTTTGCTTGTGAATTTTTTTCAGGTAAGTAAAAAAAAATTTTTCTCTGGTTGGCCCCCCCACTTTCAAAAACGATGCTACGTGCCTGATATTGATTTTAGATACCGAGTCATTTGTTTATATAAAAATGATTTTGACACTAATGGTAATCTAACAACCAAGCTATATGATAAACGTGATGACATTAACTTTTCTATCGTCAACTTCCCTTACTTATGCAGCAATATACATGTACCTTCATCACCTGCATACGGAGTATATATATCTCAGTTGATTCGATACGCAAGAGCATGCTCTACGTATGAACAATTTCTAAAACGAGGTAAATTATTGACAAGCAAGTTGACGAAAAAAGAATATCAGGTATACAAGTATATCTCGTTTAAAGTCATCATTTCGTAAGTTCTATCATAATGGTCGATACAATGACCTTGTCAGCAAATACAGTTTATCATTGAGTCAAATGCTGACTGACGTTTTTCATACCAATTGTTAGTCCATTATTTATACACTGAATTGACGACGGATTTTTTCCGTTATTTCCTGATCATGACAAGGAGCACACGGCGGGTGTGACCGGTCGGCAGGGGATGCTCACTCCTCCATGGCACCTGATCCCACCTCTGATGTTTCGGGGGTCCGTGTTTGCTCTGCTCTAATTTTGTATTGTTTATGGACTTTGAGATTAAATACGGTTCGTTATCTCCATATCCTTCTTTGAAAAAAACACGGATAGAAGAAAGGAAAGAGCAAATAATCTACAATATTAAAAAAAAAAATTTTTTAAGCATTGTACTCTTTCGTCATTGTCATTATCATTGTCTACTGTCGCCCTGGAGAATTTTAAAGTCATATGGAGACGCCACTATTTGCCAATTGGGCTTACTGTTTATATAGGTACATATATTATTTTACCAGGGTCGGCGGAAGTAATGAATTATCCATACTTTTCTTAAAAGTAACATGTATTACAATTTGTCGGCGGACAATGCTGCTTATGTAATGCTATTGACGTGTCCATCAGAACGCCAAAGATATCGATTGGTATTTGATAATGATAAAAGTATAACATCTAAAATTAAACAATTTTATGATTTGTATCACGTTTGACAAGCACGTTGTCACATGTGCAGCAAAAAAGAAGAGTGATTATTTTGAAACTAACGCTGTTTTCTGCATAAAACTAATTTAAAAAAAAATACAAATTCTTATGATATTTTATTTATTTATTTATTTGTATCTGCTTTGCAAAAAAGAAAATACTCGGTTAAAATATAGATAATCGTTCGAATTGTGTGTTCACCAGCCATTTGTGTTCAAATGTATCATGTTATATTTCTTAAGAAAATTATAAAAAGAACAAATAAAAGATGTTTCATTTTAATTTTCCAATCTATGTTTTGCGGACAATGATATTGTTAGAGTTGGTATAGAAACAACTCAGGCAAGTAGAGAAAACATTCAGAGAAGTTTGAAGGTGTATCACAAGAGATGTCTGTACTTGGGATTGACGTCCAGTTGGCACTCAGGACAGGGGTAGTCTCGATTTAAAAACGGTTCATACCTGAAATAAAAGTGGAAAACAACAGATACCATATGACCATATAATGAGAGGTCAAATCATTCTTTGCACTACCATGTAGACGTTTTCAATGTAATTTGATATCCATAATTTTATTAAAATGAACATACATGTATATATAAATACTAGCACTAGTATACATATTACCAGAAGTTAACTGCTAGATTCCTTCCTGCAGTAATGTTAGGAAAGGACTGAACTTCATGCCACCAGAAGGAGGGAAGGTACAGAACATCCCCCTCCTCTAGGGTACAGTTCAGGGGGTAGGTTTCTCCGAACAATGGGAATCTCTGTCAAAAGAAACAGTTTCAAAATACAGAAGGTTATAAATCAAAGATTTAATTAAAAAACCATTTTTCATTAACAAGAGGAATTTAAAGGAATATATGTTTTTTTCCAGATGTCGATGTAAAAAGCACAAGTCACAATCTTGCTCACATGTCAAATGAATGGATATGAATTTTTTATATTTTGATATCACAAACGTTGTTTCTCAAAGATTTATATTCTAAGTACTATAACTTTAGGTGCTTCGAACAAACTGTATCTAATATACTAGTAGTTCATGAAAGGGTTGAATTACAATTACTAGTACTGAATTGTTTCTATGTAGGAGATCAACATACTGGTGTCTTTGAGCAATAGTTCGATATACAATTGTGTATTGCTTCATCCAAAAACCATATACTTACTGTATAATTGGGCTTTTTGATGTCGATGGGAGAAAATACTTGAATAGTGGTGTCTTCTAAGTATTGTCTTTGAAAAGATTTCGTTGTAAAGTTATACGACAAACGAGCTGCTTGAAGGTGACCCTCATATAATTGATGGTTGTTGTGAGGATCGAATAGAATAACTTCCTTTCTGCCACTTATCTATATAAATGTCCGAAAAGAATAAACATTAATTAAATTTAATATTTATGAATGTTTGTTGTTGTTTATCAAAATTATAAATACAATATAATTGAAAACTTACATAATTATATGCATTGTCTGGGATTCAATTTAAAATCCAGACGTATTTTGTTTATTATTACATTTGAAAATTAATTTTACTCATGCAATGTATATTTAAAAAAAAAAAATTTCGAAATGTGGTACATGAGAAATTGAAATCTATCTAGGAAAATATTACATCTTGTTAATTTCAACAAATTAAGGATATTATTTATGAGATATTTATACTAAAACATAATTTGGTTATCTAAAAAAAACTAGTTTCACCTGACAAAGAAAATTATCATGTGCATCAAAATGCAATTTTCCAAGAGTTTTTCCGTCGCTAAGCCAAATGTTTAGCATTTCCCTTTCTAAGAGACCCTTATAGAGAATCTCTTCTCGAATGTCTTTCTCCAGTTTAGGAAGATACTGAGGTATGGAAGCATATTGTAGATACGCAGACATATTATCAATAGATCCATTAGAAATTCCATTCACGATGTCCATAAAATCCGACAATTTTCTTTTTTCAATAGCAGGCATTACCATCACTAGATCTGGTGAAAAGATCTGATCGGCGTATGTTTGAAAAACTTGAAATTTTCACGATTTTGCCAAATATTAATAGGTTCGATTCTTTCAAATTCATTATGTGGCGTGAGTTGGAACAAAACTTCGTGTTCACCATATTTTTCTCTCAAGTATTTGTTTGACCATTTTGTACATGTATATGCTGGCCAATCTTTTAGAACTCCTTTGAAAATAACAGGCTTTGACTTTTTCAAATATTTGTGGAAAAAATCTTCACGTGATGGAACGGGAATTCTATCGCATTCGGGAAGTCTTGGGATTTTATGAGCCTGCAAATTGCGATCAGAGTAACAAAAGTTATCATTTTCAGAACACTTTTGCAAAAACACATCTTTGAATTGAACATCAGAAACATGTTTAACGTAAAATTTTGATTGCAGAATCTTCTTACGATGAAATCCTTGTTTGGATAAACCACCAGTAGCATTAAGAAACGCGCCACAACCCTGATTTATAAAGTCTATCAGATTTTCAATGTGGAAATTGTCTTTATAAACAAAAGGAAAAGTACTTCGAGATTGCAGAATAGGATATAATTCATGTCTATCTTTCTTTATTTTCTCGAATAACACTACATTTCCAATGTGAATAGTTTCATTATGCTTTCCAAAAACTGTCTCATCGGGCCATCTGTCATTAATATCGATAAATCCAACCAAGATTCCATGTGCATTATTCAGCAACAGATTTCTTAGAGACTGAAATTGTTTATACTCTTTCGAGAGATCAGTAACACTGCAACCATCAGTCACATAAGCAACTAAGCATGTAGACTTTGCTCTCCTTAAAACAAAATCTAGCGAAAAACACCCTGATAGTGCATACACACACGAAATGGAATAAAAGCTACACAACACAATATTAACTTGAATAAATAACCTTTTCTCGAACTGACTTCTCATTATGAACCATTATAAGTCAACTTCTGTATAAATTCAAAAAATGATTTCAGATCTGTTTTGGGTACTTGTTTGGAAAATGGCTCAGTTTAGTTCCTACACTAGTCGTTTTCAAAAATAGACATTTTCTACCTACATTGTAAACTATGCACACCTGTAAAGAACGCATACTTTCCCAGAAATAAAATGGGCGATGTTACTACTGCTTATTCCTAAAGATCGATTTCCTGTATTGTTTTCAGAGTCAGTTAAGACATTTAAAAAACATTACTTGGTCTGGTTTTCTCTGGAAGCTTTGGCTAATGAAAGGTGTTTTTGAAAGATCTATTTGAAGGAATTAAGCATGGTCTCTAATAAAGTCGGCAAGATCGATTGATCCTTTAAACAATAAATAAGCCTATATTAGTGTCATAAATACAAAAGATAATTATTTTAGATGTCTTTCATGGTCGACTGCAACGTTTTCATTGACAATTTTGGGGTTTACATCAAGATTGCTTTGAGATCAATGATATATTTCTTCGCAAAAAATGGCAAAGTAAAAAAGTTATTTTTCAAACGTACATTTTTATTTAAAGTTTTTAGCTGTAATGGTTATTTTTCATTAAATGTCAATTCAAAAGTCCCATCCGAGGACGTCAGATGCAATGAAAGTCGCGAGAAAATGACATTCTGACACTAGTAAATGCCCATATTGACTAATATAATACACCACATATTTTTAAATTTACAGTTTAAATTAAATCGCCAATGGAGATATTTATATTGAGGAGAGTTGTAGACGATTGTATAATTGACACTTGACCTTTCACTTGGTAAAACTTGCATTCATTTGTGGTTCCGGGGGCTTCAAGTTCCCATCTTTGACCTTCTACATGTATATCTTAACATAGTAGGATGTTGGTCTTGTGATACATAAATATGTACTTAAACTTCAAATAAAAATGAATCGCTATAGTTATGTTCAGTATATTTTTTAAATAATTAAACATCACACCAAGATCTCTGAAGAAAAACCTGAACATATCAAAAGTCAAAGAAGATTGAGGATGTATCATAAAAGATGTCTGTACTTTGGATTAACGTCCAGCTGGCACTCGGGACACGGGTAATCTCGAGTTAAAAACGGTTCATACCTAAAACAAACGCATGTTATAAACAGCAGATAATTATATGAAATGACAATATCAAATCATATTTAATGCACTACTCAGAAACTAAAGAATTCAATTGGTATTCATAATGCCATAAGATTGTATTACTTTTAATGTGCAAAGGAAACATCAAGTGAAATTTATTTCAACGAAATTAGTCAACAATAAGCAAAATGCTTAAACTATTATTGATAACATTACAATACAAGAGGCCCAGGGGCCACAGCGCTCACCTGAGCACATCGGGCTTGAATTTAACCCCCCCACCCCCCCAGGCGTTCATCATTTGAACAAACTAGAATCTACACTACCTGAGGATGATTCCATATAAATAACACTAATTGTAGCTTTGAAGTACTTTAAAAGAAGATTTTAAAAGGTTTCCATATATATCCCTTTGTAAAACTTGGGTGGGCCATTTTGGCCCCAAACTAGCCCCAGGGGTCATAATTTGAACAAACTTGAATCTACACTACCTGGGGATGATTCCACATGAATTTCACCTTTCCTGGCCCAGTGGTTCTTGAGAAGAAGATTTTTAAAGATTTTTCCTATATATTCCTATGTAAAACTTGGGTCGGCCATTTTGGCCCCACCTTGCCCCAAGGTCATCGTTTGAAAAAATTTGAATCTACACTACCTGAGGATGATTTCACATGAGTTGCACCTTTCCTGGCCCAGTGGTTCTTGAGAAGAAGATTTTTAAAGATTTTTCCTATATATTCCTATGTAAAACTTGGGTCGGCCATTTTGGCCCCACCCTTGCCCCGGGGGTCATGATTTGAACAAACTTGAATCTACACTACCTGAGGATGAATCCACATGAGTTTCATCTTTCCTGGCCCAGTGGTTCTTGAGAAGAAGATTTTTAAAGATTTTTCCTATATATTCCTATGTAAAACTTGGGTCGGCCATTTTGGCCCCACCCTTGCCCCGGGGGTCATGATTTGAACAAACTTGAATCTACACTACCTGAGGATGATTCCACATGAGTTTCACCTTTCCTGGCCCAGTGGTTCTTGAGAAGAAGATTTTTTTAAAAATGCCATTAATTTTCTCTAATTCATAATTATCTCCCCTTGGAAAAGGGTGTGGCCCTTCATTTGAACAAACTTGATTCCCCTTCACCCAAGGATACTTTGTGCCAAGTTTGGTTAAAATTGGCCCAGTGGTTCTTGAGAAGAAGATGAAAATGTGAAAAGTTAACGACGACGACAACGACGACGACAACGACTACGACAACGACAGACAACGGACAAATTTTGATCAGAAAAGCTCACATGAGCCTTCGGCTCAGGTGAGCTAATAAAGTCTTTCGAAATATGAATTTATTACCAGAAGTTAATTGCTAGATTCCTTCCCGCAGTGATGTTAGGAAAGGACTGAACTTCATGCCACCAAAAGGAGGGCAGGTATAGAACATCCCCTTCCTCTAGAGTACAGTTCAGGGGGTAGGTTTCTCCGAACAATGGAAATCTCTGCCAAAAGATTAATGGAACAGTTTTCAAAATATAAAAGTTATTAGTCAAGAATTGCAATCTAATCTTTTGTTTTTGCAAGTCAAAATTCATATAACAGACAGGAAAAGTACCCTAAAAACATGCCTTCTCTTTTGAGATAATCCAAGGACGTGTCTATTTTGTAAATAACCAACGAACTTGTTCACTTAGCTTTGATTTGATTGATTCGAACATAGATTGAAGTATATTTTATTGTCTTTGAATTCTCAGCTTAGGAACTGGCAACACTTCTTATTAATCCCTTTCCCTAAACGTACGTGAATTATTTTAAACATATCACCTGTAAATTATTTATACATGAACTTCTTTTTCACATCATTAACAATATGCATGTAAATTTTGTTAGTGGCTCTTTCACAAAAACAACATAAATTTGCATAAAATACCTCGAACATTAATGAAAATAATAAATATCCAAATTGCTCGTTGAACTGCCATCTAAGTGTCTTTGAATATTAACTCAATACGAAATTACGCATTTGTTCCAAGCATGCATCATACATGTATACTCACTGTATAATTAGGGTTCATGATGTCAACGGGAGAAAATGCTTGCACCGTATTGTCTAGCAAATATCGTCTTTGAAATGACTTCGACGTAAAATTATACGACATGCTAGCTTCCTGAATGTGACCCTCATATAATTGATGGTTGTTGTGTGGATCGAATAATATAACTTGCTTTCCTCCACTTATCTACAAATAGTAAAGTCTACAATTATTCTAATTAAGTAATAAAGGTTTTCTCACTTTTCCATAAATACATGTACTAATGAATAATAAATTAATACTTTAGATATTGTATTAAAATTCTCATTCATTATTTATTTATCATAAAAAAGAATCTTTATTTTTTTTTAAGAATATACTCATTTTACCTGGCAAAGAAAATTATCATATGGATCAAAATGCAATTTTCCAAGAGTTCTTCCGTCGCTAAGCCAAATGTTCAGCATCTCCCTTTCTAGGAGACCCTTAAAGAGAACCTCTTCTCGAATGTCTTTTTCCAGTTCTGGCAGATATCTGGGAATGGAAGCGTATTCTAAATATGCAGACATATTTACAATAGACCCATTAGAAATTCCATCCAAAATGTCCATAAAGACCGACAGATTTTTGCTTTCAGTAGCGGGTCGTACCATCACTAGATCAGGAGTAAGAATCTGATCTGCGCATGATCGAGGAAATTTAAATTTTTGGTAATTCTCCCAAATATTTATAGGTTCGATTCTTTCAAATTCACCCTGTGGTGTAAGTTGGAACATGATTTCTTGTCCGCCGTATTTTTCTCTCAGATATTTGTTTGACCATTTTGTAAATGCTGGCCAGTCTTTTAAAACTTCTTTGAAAATAACAGGCTTTGACTTTTTCAAATATTTGTGAAAGAAATCATCACGTGTTGGAAGTTGAATTCTTTCGCACTCGGGAAGTTTGGGGACACCATGAACATGCAAATTACGATCTGAATAACAGAAGTTGTCATTTTCAGAACACTTTTGCAAAAACACATCTTTAGACTGAACATTTGAAACACTTTTAACGTAAAACTTTGATTGCAGAATTTCCTCCCTGTAAAGACCTTGTTTGGACAGACCACCAGTAGCATGAAGATACGTATTGCAACCCTGATTTATAAATTGTATCAACTCTTCAATGTTGTATACATTTCTAAGAACAAGTGGAGCGATACTTTGAGGTTGCGCAGTTGGGTATATTTCCGTTCTGTCCTTGGTAATTTTTTCGAACAACACTATATCCCCAATATTAATAGCAACATCATGTTTTCCAGTAACTTCACTTCCGTCGGGCCAGGCATCATTTATATCAATAAATCCAACCAAGATTCCATGTTTATTGCTAAGCAATAAGTTTCTTATATATTGAAATTGTTTATACTCTTTAGATGGATCGTGTTCAACAACAGTGCACCCATCAGTCACAAAAGCGACTATGCATGAAGTCCTTGCTCGCCTTAGAACAAAATCTAGCGAGAAACATCCTGATAATGCATACACATACGGAATGAGATACAATAGACACAATAATTTAAATGTGTCCTCAACGAATGGCAATTTTTCGAATCTACGTATCATTTGGAACCAAGGTAAACTTCTGCATAAATTCAGTTAAGCAATTCCAAATTGTTTTTGAATACAAGGTAAGGTCCTGATTATTGACTTTTTAATGATTTTTATTTAAAATATGGACAAGTTCCTGTTTAGCTAGAAAAGATCAGAGAGTCTACTGTGAATTTAGCACACCTGTTATTGAATGTGTACATTCTCAGAGAAACTGAAAATAAAGCTACTGCATTATATTAAATCCTACTCTCAAGATCAATTAGATATTTAAACACTTAAAACAATTGATAAATAATAAAAAATAATCAATTTATTTAAAAATGAAGATTGAGATATCTGAGACAATTAAATGTAATTCTAATACTAGTACATGTATATCATAATAAATGTCTGTATTGTGGGTTTACATCAAGCTGACATTCTGGGCAAGGGAATTCTCTCACTAGAAATGGATCATACCTGTAAAAAAACAAAATACATGGCTACTTTTCTCGATCAAAGAAATATCGATATTTTTCAAATGCTCAATTTCATATATAAACTTCTCAAATTAAATAAGTGATTTTCAAAAGTTTAACTGGTACCTCAAGCTAGCTTTCTATTTTGATTTATGATCATATCAGCTACCTTAATATTTCTCTATTAAAGGCCCACAGATGGAAAAGGTCACTCTAGTGTCACAATGTATGTGTGAACTCTGTTTTTGTTTCTTTTTTGTTTTTGTTTTTGTTTTTGTTTGTTTTTTTTTTTGGTTGATACAAGGAACATGTAGCTCCCATATAATTTTATCAAATTATAATGTTGCTTCTTTAGAAGTTTGTTTGCAGGCTCCACCCAATGTTCACTATTTCTTTATTGTTGTGACGGACAACATTGACCAAAACAGATAGCAATTGGTTAGTTAGTTACACAAGAATCTCTGATGATATAACAGAGCAAATTTTTGAAAATAATGAAAGAAAAAGTGAGCAAGCTCATTCCCCACGCTCGCCCAAAACTTAAAGTGCTGAAAATCCCGGAAAAAATAAAGGAATTGGAATTTCCCGCTTATATGCAAATCTAAACATTGTTTCCTAAATATCTGCAAAGTTTCATAAAATTCTGTGCAGCGGTTTATGAGATGTTGCGCTGACAAACTGTTCATCTCTTTTCAAGATATCCCCAAAAATCTAAGTTGAAAAGTGCGGAAATTCCCGGAAAAAATAAAGGAATTGGAATTTCCTGGTAATTTGCAAATCTACAAATTGTGTCCTAAATATCTGCAAAGTTTGATGAAATTCTGTGCATTGGTTTATGAGGAGTTGTGCTGACAAACTGTTCATCTCTATAATCAAGATATGGCCAAAAAATCTAAGTTTTTAGTGTGGAAATTCCTGGAAAAAAAAAGGAATTGGAATTTCCTGGTAATATGCACATCTACATATTGTTTCCTAATTATCTGCAAAGTTTGACGAAATTCTGTGCAGTGGTTTAAGAGGAGTTACGCTGACAAACTGTTCATCTATATATTCAAGGTATGGCCAAAAACCAAAGTTGAAGAGTGTGGAAATTCCCGGAAAAAATAAAAGAATCGGAATTTCCTGGTAAAATGCACATCTACACATTGTACCCTAAATATCTGCTAAGTTTGACAAAATTCTGTGCAGTGGTTTATGAGGAGTTGCGCTCACAAACTGTTCATCTCTATATTCAAGGTAGGGCCAAAACCCTAAGTTAAAAAATGCAGAAATTCCTGGGAAAAATATAAGAATAAAAATTTTCTGGTAATATGCACATCTACATATTGTGTCCTAAATATCTGCAAAGTTTGACGAAATTCTGTGTAGGGGTTTATGAGGAGTGGCGCTGACAAAAAATAAGGACTGACGGACTGACTGACTGACTGACACTCTGACAGACGGGTCAAAAACATTATACCTCACGCAAATTGTTCCATGGGGTATAACAAATGCATTTGGAGTTACGAAAAAAAATTACTATTTTAATCAATCTGGAATCAAGCTAAGGGAAAAATCAGGTGGTCATGGTTCTTACAAAACATTGGAGCTGAGAATAATTCTGACCACTTTTTTCAATACTACCAAGATACACTGTAATTGCAGAGATTTAACAAAATGTGCCCTTACTGGTGACTGGCCCTATTTCTCAATCACCTTTCCTTTATTAAAGGAAGACTGGCAAATCATTTGAATAAATGTGAATTCTAGAAAAGTAATTGAGCTAGAAAGAAATACCCAGTAGCTAACAGCTAGACCAACAGATGAACACAAAATGCATATAGAATATACATGTAATCCTTGAAATTTCTGCAGATGGGCATAAAAAAGCAAAGCAACTGACAGGTATCAATCATATGGCTTGGTGTATTGCATTCTTTTACAATTTCCTCTAGGTGGTCAGATCATCATTGGAAAGATAAAGGCAGTAGATGGTTAGTCTACAGAATTACCAAAAGAGAGACAACTTCAGAGAAGTTACATGTACTTTTATTATCAAAGTAATCCTGCCTACTAACATTAATTATTGTAAAAATCTTTGAAAGAAAATAACCTACCAAAAGTTGATGGCAAGGTTTCTTCCTGCTGTTTTGTTGGGAAAGGACTGGACTTCATGCCACCAAAATGAAGGCATGTACAGAATGTCGCCTTCTTCTATTGTGCAGTTCATGGGGTAAGTTTCTCCAAACAGTGGAAACCTCTGTCAAAGGAAAATCAAAGCTTATTATCAAATAGGCATTTTTTCTAAATTTTTAGAAAAAGTGTCTAAGTAGTAATAATAATAATAATAATGATTGTTTTTATAAATCGCTTTTCTAGCATAAATGCTACTCAAAGCGCTTTACAATACATTATTAACCCAGCAGACCTTAACAATCCAGAATCTTTCTCAGTGCAAGCTGCCGTTATCAGCGCTAGAACATTAACATTCTGACAATATCTTTCACTGTCTACAATCAAATATCAGAAGTCATACACAGTCATCCTTTTATTTTGACACTAAATAAAAATCAATTTTTCAATCCCAGAGGAATTTAATTAAGTTTCATAGATTTTTTTTGCTAAATATATTTACAGAATAATCTGGATTCTGGATGTCAACAGGGGACATAACCATGGACGTGCTTTCCAGTAGATGGCGACGGTGGAATGTATTGGGAGGTCTGATCGTAGGACAGGATTGCCTCTGGAATGTGTCCCTCGTACATCTGATGATTGTTGTGAGGATCAAACAAAATCACCTGCTTTTTTCCACTTATCTGAAAAGGATGCAGATACCACATTGATGTTATACAAATGTTAATTGGTTTATAAATAAATTACACAATAGCATTTTCTAAACTTCTTCGAAATATGACAACTAAATATGTTGAATGTGAACATCTTTGTAATATCGTTTAACTTACTGTACCTGGCAAAGTAGATTGTCAAATTGATCAAAATGCAGCTTTCCCCAAAGTTATTCCATCACTTAGCCATATATTTAGATGTTTTCTCTTTAGGAGCCCTTTGAATAGTAAATCTTCTCTTATATCCTCCTCTAGTACTGCAGGTGATCGGGAATGGAGGAATACTCCAGATATGCCGACATATCATTAATAGTCCCATTGGATACTCCTTCAACATATCCATGAAATTTGAGAAATTCAATGTCTCTTAGTGGCCGGTCTAACAACTACTAAGTCAGGAAAGGGCAACTGATCTTCTACTGATTTGGGAATCTCAAACTTTTCGTGATTTTCCCACATATATCGTGGCTCAACTCCTTCGTATTCACCCAAGGGTGTCAACTTGATATGGACATCATTTTTCCCAAATTTATCTCGGAAATATCTGTTTGTCCACTTTGTAAAAGCTGGCCAGTCTCTTAAAACATTTTTGAATATCACTGGCTTTGATATTTTTACATAATTATGGAAAAAGTCATCCTTGGAAGGAAAATCTATTCTCTCGCACTCTGGAATTTTCAGGTTTATTGTTGTGAACATGAAAATTATGATTGTCTGATAAACAGGGTTAATCTATAACTTTACAATTCTGATTCACTGGTTGAAACACATCTTTTGATTGCACGTCTGAAATATTTTGAACATAAAATCTTGTTCTGTGGATTTCCTCTTTATGTAGCCCCTCAATAGAAAAACATCCCCAGTTGGTGACATGTAGGTATGACATCCATCATTGACAAAGTCTATTAGAGTTGTCAGTCCATTCACACCATTAAAAATAAGCGGGACCAAGCTCTTCTGAGATGGAGATGGCAGTAGACATGTTAAATCCTCGGGACTTTCTTAAAATAAGACAATTTTTCCTGCCTCTACCCCTTCACCGTGAAATTGTTTCCCGTCGGGCCACTTACTATTTATGTCAATATACCCCACTAGAATTCCTAAATCTTTACGTATCAATAACTGTTTAAGGTCAGAAAATTGGGAATTGTCATAAATTTGATTATCAATTTCACAACTGTTAGTCACGAGAGCAACAATACAAGTTGAATGTGCAGTTTCGAGGACAGATTCAGGAGAAAGACAGCTTGATAGTGCGTGAACACAACATAATATGAAGCAAAAGATGTTTGCCCAAAAATTAACCTTCAATTTCCTTAATCTAACGCTTTCTTTTCCCATGTCTAGCTTCTACATTTCACAACGACAGATTCGTGAGAAATTTCCGGCTGTTGTGGTTTGCGTATTTTATGTTCATCGATCCCGAGGCAATTAAAAAAAAAGTTGAATGTTATACATGTAAATGACTTACTAAAAAGTTGTTGTAAATCGAACATATTTTATTCTCAAAACTTTTAAACTTAGCCTTGAGTCATGACATTTTTAGAACGCTTAAAGGTTCTGGTTGTATTGCTCCCCTTTGATACATTACAGTTTTATCATGCTTTATCTTTTCAGAATGGAACATCAATAACCAATTTACAAAGCATGTTTACAAAAGGGAAAAGCGTTAGATGTTTAACTTAACTGATGTCCCCAATATACTGTTAACAATCATTTTTAGACTCTCGGTTTA